TCTTATAAACAAATCGTGACACACCAAAAAGTTAGAGGTTATACCACAGATAGCAGATACATTTATACCAAAAAGTTAGAGGTTATACCACAGATAGCAGATACATTTATACCAAATAGTTAGTGATAATACCACAGATAGCAGATACATTTATACCAAAAAGTTAGAGGTTATACCACAGATAGCTGGAATATTTATACCAAAAAGTTAGAGGTTATACCACAGATAGCAGATACATTTATACCAAAAAGTTAGAGGTTATACCACAGATAGCTGGAATATTTATACCTAAAAGTTAGAGGTTATACCACAGATAGCTGGAATATTTATACCAAAAAGTTTGAGGTTATACCACAGATAGCAGATACATTTATACCAAAAAGTTAGAGGTTATACCACAGATAGCAGATACATTTATACCAAAAAGTTAGAGGTTATACCACAGATAGCTGGAATATTTATACCAAAAAGTTCGAGGTTATACCACAGATAGCTGGAATATTTATACCAAAAAGTTAGAGGTTATACCACAGATAGCTGGAATATTTATACCTAAAAGTTAGAGGTTATACCACAGATAGCTGGAATATTTATACCAAAAAGTTTGAGGTTATACCACAGATAGCAGATACATTTATACCAAAAAGTTAGAGGTTATACCACAGATAGCAGGAATATTTATACCAAAAAGTTAGAGGTTATACCACAGATAGCAGGAATTTATATAAAAAGTTAGAGGTTATATATATATATATATATATACCAAAAAGTTAGAGGTTATACCACAGATAGCTGGAATATTTATACCAAATAGTTAGAGGTTATACCACAGATAGCAGATACATTTATACCAAAAAGTTAGAGGTTATACCACAGATAGCAGGAATATTTATACCAAAAAGTTAGAGGTTATACCACAGATAGCAGGAATATTTATACCAAAAAGTTAGAGGTTATACCACAGATAGCAGATACATTTATACCGAAAAGTTAGAGGTTATACCACAGATAGCAGGAATATTTATACCAAAAAGTTAGAGGTTATACCACAGATAGCAGATACATTTATACCAAAAAGTTAGAGGTTATACCACAGATAGCAGATACATTTATACCAAAAAGTTCGAGGTTATACCACAGATAGCAGATACATTTATACCAAAAAGTTAGAGGTTATACCACAGATAGCAGGAATATTTATACCAAAAAGTTAGAGGTTATACCACAGATAGCAGATACATTTATACCAAAAAGTTAGAGGTTATACCACAGATAGCAGATACATTTATACCAAAACGTTAGAGGTTATACCAATAGCTGGAATATTTATACCAAAAAGTTCGAGGTTATACCACAGATAGCTGGAATATTTATACCAAAAAGTTAGAGGTTATACCACAGATAGCTGGAATATTTATACCAAAAAGTTAGAGGTTATACCACAGATAGCTGGAATATTTATACCAAAAAGTTAGAGGTTATACCACAGATAGTGGATACATTTATACCTAAAAGTTAGAAGTTATACCACAGTACCAAAAAGTTAGCGGTTATACCACAGATAGCTGGAATATTTATACCAAAAAGTTAGAGGTTATACCACAGATAGCTGGAATATTTATACCAAAAAGTTAGAGGTTATACCACAGATAGCTGGAATATTTATACCAAAAAGTTAGAGGTTATACCACAGATAGCTGGAATATTTATACCAAAAAGTTAGAGGTTATACCACAGATAGCTGGAATATTTATACTAAAAAGTTAGAGGTTATACCACAGATAGCAGATACATTTATACCAAAAAGTTAGAGGTTATACCACAGATAGCAGGAATATTTATACCAAAAAGTTAGAGGTTATACCACAGATAGTGGATACATTTATACCAAAAAGTTAGAGGTTATACCACAGATAGCAGATACATTTATACCAAAAAGTTCGAGGTTATACCACAGATAGCAGATACATTTATACCAAAAAGTTAGAGGTTATACCACAGATAGCAGGAATATTTATACCAAAAAGTTAGAGGTTATACCACAGATAGCAGATACATTTATACCAAAAAGTTAGAGGTTATACCACAGATAGCAGATACATTTATACCAAAACGTTAGAGGTTATACCACAGATAGCTGGAATATTTATACCAAAAAGTTAGAGGTTATACCACAGATAGCTGGAATATTTATACCAAAAAGTTAGAGGTTATACCACAGATAGCTGGAATATTTATACCAAAAAGTTAGAGGTTATACCACAGATAGCTGGAATATTTATACCAAAAAGTTAGAGGTTATACCACAGATAGTGGATACATTTATACCTAAAAGTTAGAGGTTATACCACAGTACCAAAAAGTTAGCGGTTATACCACAGATAGCTGGAATATTTATACCAAAAAGTTAGAGGTTATACCACAGATAGCTGGAATATTTATACCAAAAAGTTAGAGGTTATACCACAGATAGCTGGAATATTTATACCAAAAAGTTAGAGGTTATACCACAGATAGCTGGAATATTTATACCAAAAAGTTAGAGGTTATACCACAGATAGCTGGAATATTTATACCAAAAAGTTAGAGGTTATACCACAGATAGCTGGAATATTTATACTAAAAAGTTAGAGGTTATACCACAGATAGCAGATACATTTATACCAAAAAGTTAGAGGTTATACCACAGATAGCAGGAATATTTATACCAAAAAGAGGTTATACCACAGAGGTTATACCACAGATAGCTGGAATATTTATACCAAAAAGTTAGAGGTTATACCACAGATAGAAGATACATTTATACCAAAAAGTTAGAGGTTATACCACAGATAGCAGATACATTTATACCAAAAAGTTAGAGGTTATACCACAGATAGCAGGAATATTTATACCAAAAAGTTAGAGGTTATACCACAGATAACTGGAATATTTATACCAAAAAGTTAGAGGTTATACCACAGATAGCAGGAATATTTATACCAAAAAGTTAGAGGTTATACCAGAGATAGCTGGAATATTTATACCAAAAAGTTAGAGGTTATACCAGAGATAGCAGAAGATTATAAATTACATAACCAGGTTATGGCTTCTCTTTAGAACCAATGGTTTTATAATACTAAATAGATAAGCAGATTATATAATTGTTGATTACAAAATTAAATACAATATTGCATATTGAAGGATGCAATACAAGGTTGAAATTTATAATGAACAATATCTAGTTAAAATTATAAAATTCAATAAAAGGTTAAAGGTTATAAAACAAAATAGGAGGTCAAAGGTTATAACATACACTACCAATTGTAAGGTTACATTAGACATGCAAGGATAAAAGTTATAACAAAAAAATACGAGGTTAAATGTTATAGCACATAATTATACAAAGCTAAAGGTTTCAGTGTACATTATATAAGGTTATAGTGTACCATACAAAATTCATGATTATAGAACACAAGAAAAGGTTAAAAGTTAAAGCATCAAGTACATTTACAAGGTTGAAGTTTATATTGTAAAAAACAAGGTTAAAAGTTACATCACAATATTTAACTGAAAGTTATTACATAGAATAAAAGATTGAAAGTTATAGTATACAATGCAAAGTTTAAAGTTGTAGAATATCAGGTTAAGATTTATATAATACAATACCAGGATAAAAGTTATAGCTTATACTAGATACTAGATTACACAGACTAAAGGTAATTCAAGATAATACTTAATCACCCATAGATACTTCACCTGCAATTTAATTATGATTATTAAAGCACTGTAGTTTAAGAATAACTTGTTTATTTGGATTTGGTATATAGATCTATTAAGTCACTATATATATGTATGCTAATTTGATATTTTGTGTATGCTAATTTGATATACTGTGTATGCTAATTTGATATTCTAAGTATGCTAATTTGATATTCTAAGTATGCTAATTTGATATGCTGTGTTTGCTAATTTGATATTCTGTGTAAGCTCATTTGATATACTGTGTTTGCTAATTTGATATTCTGTGTATGCTAATTTGATATTCTGTGTATGCAAATTTGATATTCTGTACATACTACGGTAATTTGATATACTGTGTATGCTAATTTGATATACTGTGTTTGCTAATTTGATATTCTGTGTATGCTAATTTGATATTTTGTGTATGCTAATTTGATATTCTGTGTATACTGTGTATGCTAATTTGATATACTGTGTATGCTAATTTGATATACTGTGTTTGCTAATTTGATATACTGTGTTTGCTAATTTGATATTTTGTGTATGCTAATTTGATATTCTGTGTATACTGTGTATGCTAATTTGATATACTGTGTATGCTAATTTGATATTCTGTGTAAGCTAATTTGATATTCTAAGTATGCTAATTTGATATTCTGTGCAGGCTAATTTGATATTCTAAGTATGCTAATTTGATATACTGTGTATGCTAATTTGATATACTGTGTATGCTAATTTGTTATTCTGTGTATGCTAATTTGATATACTGTGTATGCTAATTTGTTATTCTGTGTATGCTAATTTGATATTCTGTAATGCTAATTTGATATTCTATGTATGCAAATTTGATATTCTGTACATACTACGGTAATTTGATATTCTGTGTATGCTAATTTGATATACTGTGTTTGCTAATTTGATATTCTGTGTAAGCTAATTTGATATTCTGTGTAAGCTAATTTGATATTCTAAGTATGCTAATTTGATATACTGTGTATGCTAATTTGATATACTGTGTATGCTAATTTGATATTCTGTGTAAGCTAATTTGATATTCTATGTATGCTAATTTGATATTCTAAGTATGCTAATTTGATATACTGTGTATGCTAATTTGATATACTGTGTATGCTAATTTGTTATTCTGTGTATGCTAATTTGATATTCTGTAATGCTAATTTGATATTCTATGTATGCTAATTTGATATTCTATGTATGCAAATTTGATATTCTGTACATACTACGGTAATTTGATATATTGTGTATGTTTGTTGTAGTTCCACTTCTACAGTCCAAAGGTATCGTGTCTCAGGTGTTTCCACTCCATAACCAGGATACACTGCTGGAAATGAGGAAATGCTGGGTACAGGGATTCCTCAGGAGACAACCACTTGGTATGTCCTTCAGTATCAGAGTGCAGCTGAAATTTCATGATGCTGGTACATGGCCTGATAGTGGGTCATTATTAAATACTTGTATCCATGACTGTTATTGAAACTGTTATTGAAACCCCTGGGACATCATTTGATTATCAGTTGATTTGTAATTGTGTTGTAATTGAGATTTTACTGCTGTGTGGTTGGATATCAAATAGACAAAATTCTCTAAATGTTCTTGACTAGGAAATATAGGTATTTCTGGTCGTAACTAGGCCTCCATCTTTTGTAGAAGTTAAAACTAACCTGCCTAGTAACTTATCATAAAAAAGGAAAAGAAGATAGACATCAGGAGTTGACACTTGTGTGTTACACGATACAGAACTGATGAACCAGCCATTGGACACAGCAGACACAGCAGTAATGTAAGGACTAATACAATGATATATACTGATCAGTTTAATTTAGTAGGTATTATCTTCAGAATACGGTTTGATCAGGTTGAATGTTTTTTTATTTACTGCAGATAAGATTCGGGACTACTTTGGTGTGAAGATTGCTATGTATTTTGCCTATCTCGGTCATTACACACTTGCTCTATGTATCCCAGCATTCCTGGGGGCATTCATATGGCTGTTTCAAGGACAGGATGAGGTGAGCTAAATTGAAATTGTGAAGTATTTCTGAATCATAATTTTTAGCTTTTAGCTTCATGACAGTTAATGTAATGAAGTTTGCTAAAACAAATGGTCTTGAACCAGATTTATAGGTAAAATTCCATATGATCATATGGTCTTCTCGTTAACAAGGTCGCAAATCATTTTATTTTTTGCTTGTAACTTGCATGCAAAGTACTGCAAAGTACTAGAAGGCTCCTTGGCATTGATATTAAAAGTTAAGTGGTTAGATTGTGTTTAAATGCTAAAACTTCTTCTTATAAACCAAAAGCACTATCATCATGTACAATTCTAAAATCCTGATAAATTGGCTGTAGTAACTTGCTGACACTGAGTTTTGCAAAGATTGTGAGTAGACCCTGGTCTTTAAGTGAAATACAATTTTTGAAATACTCGATAACGAATTTTAATTAACTAAATTGTTTAAAATAATGTTTTTCCTGTGCATTGTTCTCCCTTCTAAAAATGAAGTTTAGGAAATGATAGTGATGTCTATTTATGGTCACTGAGGTAACAATTACTGCTTAAGGTGAATGTAATTTTGTTCGTATTCTAGTATTTAAAGCAAGCTAAAAATCTTTTAATAGGACCAATGTAGAGAAATATGATTTAGTCTAAAGTGTTATTTTAACTATCAAACATTGTGGAAAGATTTTTTAGTTTGATCCTCCTCAAAAGTTGCAATGATCACACGTGTTAGAAAAGCATTTAATCATACTTAGTGAGTGATGTAGGCCCCATGGCCCCTAACTTGACCTTAACCTATTATAGAATAGATAAACATGATTGACTTTACACTGAACTGATGAACAGTGATCAACATTTGACCTGTTGTTGACTTGATCAATAGTGATTGACCCTATACTAACCTTTGACCTGTTGTATATAAACAGTGTTTAACCTTACTTTGACCTTTGACCTGTTTTAGACTGTGGATGATCAGTGGTTTGTTGCATTTGCTCTGTTCAATGCATTCTGGGCCACACTGTACCTGGAGCACTGGAAGCGGCGTAGTTCTGAGCTGGCATATGAATGGGGTACCCTGGACAAGAAAGATGAACTTTTAGATGATCCTCGTCCACTTTTCTCAGTAAGATTTATTTTCGCGTTGTGGAGTAAAAGGAAAATGTTCACCTCTCTTCTCCCTCCCTTTTCCACCTCACATACATGGTATAAAGTACATAAAGACATTTATTTGAAGTCAGTCTTCCATAACTTACGTAAACTGTTGTCAACATTTCAAATGAGTAACTATGATGTTGATGGCACAAAGATACTTCTGATTGTGTAGATAGAAATTAAAAAGTAACTTTGTATGTAGATCATTATGTATGTTATTGTGATAGAGTCTTTAACCTTTTTCAGGGAAGTTTACGAGAGAGTCCTGTGACTGGGAGACAGGAACCATACTATGCACCATGGAAGCGTAACTTGTTCCGCTACTTCATTAGCTGGCCAATTATCTTTCTGTGTTTATGTGTGGTTTTTGTTGTTATGCTGCTAATCTTCCAGCTACAGGAGTGGATTAACAGCCTGGTAGCCAAGGCTGATATCCCTGGCTTCTGTACATTCCTGCCAAAGATCCTGCTGGCTGTTTCCATTGGTATCCTGGATGAGGTCTACAAGAAAATTGCTTACTGGCTCAACCACATAGGTATACATTATGTAGGACTGCAGATAAGACACCATTAGGATTCCTGATTTCTTTTTTTCCCACGGAAATGAATGGTGGCAGGAAAATCATGTTTATGCCATCATTTTGTGCATCTGTGTGTGTCTGATTGTTTTCCCATTCGAGTAGACAATATCAATGTGACTCTGATAAAATCATACCATTGAAGAAAATAAACTCGGTCATACTTGCTACAGGTAATGAGATGATGATCTTTGTAGGTCTTTAGGGTCAAGTGTTTGAGGTGAAGGTCACTTCCTTTTTATGTGGAAGTTGTGTGATTGAAGGGATTTTATCAAACTTTGTATATTTGTACCCCTTCGTAAGAGAAAATCCTTGTGGATTTCTAGTCCCATAGGTCAGAGGTCAAGGTCATTTTAGTCATAAAAACTCCAGTCATCTTCATAAATTAAACAACAGTATGATTTAGAGTATGATTGCAGTTGACATATGTGTTGTAGTATCTTTGTTGGTCTAATTAGATATTGTGAGGGGATGACCTACTTTGTAGTATCTTTGTTGGTCTAATTAGATATTGTGAGGGGATGGTCTACTTTGTAGTATCTTTGTTGGTCTAATTAGATAGATATTGTGAGGGGATGACCTACTTTGTAGTATCTTTGTTGGTCTAATTAGTTAGATATTGTGAGGGGATGGTCTACTTTGTAGTATCTTTGTTGGTCTAATTAGATATTGTGAGGGGATGACCTACTTTGTAGTATCTTTGTTGGTCTAATTAGTTAGATATTGTGAGGGGATGACCTACTTTGTAGTATCTTTATTGGTCTAATTAGTTAGATATTGTGAGGGGATGACCTACTTTGTAGTATCTTTATTGGTCTAATTAGTTAGATATTGTGAGGGGATGACCTACTTTGTAGTATCTTTATTGGTCTAATTAGTTAGATATTGTGAGGGGATGACCTACTTTGTAGTATCTTTATTGGTCTAATTAGTTAGATATTGTGAGGGTATGACCTACTTTGTAGTATCTTTATTGGTCTAATTAGTTAGATATTGTGAGGGGATGACCTTCTTTGTAGTATCTTTATTGGTCTAATTAGTTAGATATTGTGAGAGGTGAACCTACTTTGTAGTATCTTTGTTGGTCTAATTAGATATTGTGAGGGGATGACCTACTTTGTAGTATCTTTATTGGTCTAATTAGTTAGATATTGTGAGGGGATGACCTACTTTGTAGTATCTTTGTTGGTCTAATTAGATATTGTGAGGGGATGACCTACTTTGTAGTATCTTTGTTGGTCTAATTAGATAGATATTGTGAGAGGATGACCTACTTTGTAGTATCTTTGTTGGTCTAATTAGATATTGTGAGGGGATGACCTACTTTGTAGTATCTTTGTTGGTCTAATTAGATATTGTGAGGGGATGATCTACTTTGTAGTATCTTTATTGGTCTAATAAGATAGATATTGTGAGGGGATGACCTACTTTGTAGTATCTTTATTGGTCTAATTAGATAGATATTGTGAGGGGATGACCTACTTTGTAGTATCTTTATTGGTCTAATTAGTTAGATATTGTGAGAGGTGAACCTACTTTGTAGTATCTTTGTTGGTCTAATTAGATCTTGTGAGGGGATGACCTACTTTGTAGTATCTTTGTTGGTCTAATTAGATAGATATTGTGAGAGGATGGCCTACTTTGTAGTATCTGTTGGTCTAATTAGATATTGTGAGGGGATGACCTACTTTGTAGTATCTTTGTTGGTCTAATTAGATATTGTGAGGGGATGACCTACTTTGTAGTATCTTTGTTGGTCTAATTAGATATTGTGAGGGGATGACCTACTTTGTAGTATCTTTGTTGGTCTAATTAGATAGATATTGTGAGGGGATGACCTACTTTGTAGTATCTTTGTTGGTCTAATTAGTTAGATATTGTGAGGGGATGACCTTCTTTGTAGTATCTTTATTGGTCTAATTAGATAGATATTGTGAGGGGATGACCTACTTTGTAGTATCTTTATTGGTCTAATTAGATAGATATTGTGAGGGGATGACCTACTTTGTAGTATCTTTATTGGTCTAATTATGTCTTTGTAGTATCTTTATTAGTCTAATTAGGTAGATATTGTGAGGGGATGACCTACTTTGTAGTATCTTTATTGGTCTAATTAGTTAGATATTGTGAGGGGATGACCTACTTTGTAGTATCTTTATTGGTCTAATTAGATAGATATTGTGAGGGGATGACCTACTTTGTAGTATCTTTATTGGTCTAATTAGATAGATATTGTGAGGGGATGACCTACTTTGTAGTATCTTTATTGGTCTAATTAGTTAGATATTGTGAGGGGATGACCTACTTTGTAGTATCTTTATTGGTCTAATTAGTTAGATATTGTGAGGGGATGACCTACTTTGTAGTATCTTTATTGGTCTAATTAGTTAGATATTGTGAGGGGATGACCTACTTTGTAGTATCTTTGTTGGTCTAATTAGATCTTGTGAGGGGATGACCTACTTTGTAGTATCTTTATTGGTCTAATTAGATAGATATTGTGAGGGGATGACCTACTTTGTAGTATCTTTATTGGTCTAATTAGTTAGATATTGTGAGGGGATGACCTACTTTGTAGTATCTTTGTTGGTCTAATTAGATCTATTGTGAGGGGATGACCTACTTTGTAGTATCTTTATTGGTCTAATTAGATAGATATTGTGAGGGGATGACCTACTTTATGGTATCTTTGTTGGTCTAATTAGATCTTGTGAGGGGATGACCTACTTTGTAGTATCTTTATTGGTCTAATTAGATAGATATTGTGAGGGGATGACCTACTTTATGGTATCTTTGTTGGTCTAATTAGATAGATATTGTGAGGGGATGACCTACTTTGTAGTATCTTTATTGGTCTAATTAGATATTGTGAGGGGATGACCTATTTTGTAGTATCTTTGTTGGTCTAATTAGATATTGTGAGGGGATGACCTACTTTGTAGTATCTTTGTTGGTCTAATTAGATATTGTGAGGGGATGACCTACTTTGTAGTATCTTTATTGGTCTAATTAGATAGATATTGTGAGGGGATGACCTACTTTGTAGTATCTTTATTGGTCTAATTAGATAGATATTGTGAGGGGATGACCTACTTTGACATACTTTGTAGTATCTTTGTTGGTCTAATTAGAGATATTGTGAGGGGATGACCTACTTTGTAGTATCTTTATTGGTCTAATTAGATAGATATTGTGAGGGGATGACCTACTTTGTAGTATCTTTATTGGTGAGGGGATGAACTTTGTAGTATCTAGATATTGTGAGGGGATGACCTACTTTGTAGTATCTTTATTGGTCTAATTAGTTAGATATTGTGAGGGGATGACCTACTTTGTAGTATCTTTATTGGTCTAATTAGTTAGATATTGTGAGGGGATGACCTACTTTGTAGTATCTTTATTGGTCTTTAGTTAGATATTGGTCTAATTAGTATCTTTATTGGTCTAATTAGATATATGTGAGGGGATGACCTACTTTGTAGTATCTTTAATTGTTAGATATTGTGAGGGGATAATATCTTTGTTGGTCTAATTAGATATTGTGAGGGGATGACCTACTTTGTAGTATCTTTATTGGTCTAATTAGATAGATATTGTGAGGGGATGACCTACTTTGTAGTATCTTTGTTGGTCTAATTAGATATTGTGAGGGGATGACCTACTTTGTAGTATCTTTATTGGTCTAATTAGATAGATATTGTGAGGGGATGACCTACTTTGTAGTATCTTTGTTGGTCTAATTAGATAGATATTGTGAGGGGATGACCTACTTTGTAGTATCTTTGTTGGTCTAATTAGATATTGTGAGGGGATGACCTACTTTGTAGTATCTTTGGGTCTAATTAGATATATTGTGAGGGGATGACCTACTTTGTAGTATCTTTATTGGTCTAATTAGATAGATATTGTGAGGGGATGGTCTACTTTGTAATATCTTTATTGGTCTAATTAGATATTGTGAGGGGATGACCTACTTTGTAATATCTTTATTGGTCTAATTAGATAGATATTGTGAGGGGATGACCTACTTTATAGTATCTTTATTGGTCTAATTAGTTAGATATTGTGAGGGGATGACCTACTTTGTAGTATCTTTTTATTGGTCTAATTAGATAGATATTGTGAGGGGATGACCTACTTTGTAGTATCTTTGGTTAATTAGATATTGTGAGGGGATGACCTACTTTGTAGTATCTTTGTTGGTCTAATTAGATATTGTGAGGGGATGACCTACTTTGTAGTATCTTTATTGGTCTAATTAGATAGATATTGTGAGGGGATGACCTACTTTGTAGTATCTTTATTGGTCTAATTAGTTAGATATTGTGAGGGGATGACCTACTTTGTAGTATCTTTGTTGGTCTAATTAGATATTGTGAGGGGATGACCTACATTGTATTATCTTTATTGGTCTAATTAGTTAGATATTGTGAGGGGATGACTACTTTGTAGTATCTTTGTTGGTCTAATTAGATAGATATTGTGAGGGGATGACCTACTTTGTAGTATCTTTGTTGGTCTAATTAGATAGATATTGTGAGGGGATGACCTACTTTGTAGTATCTTTGTTGGTCTAATTAGATATTGTGAGGGGATGACCTACTTTGTAGTATCTTTATTGGTCTAATTAGATATTGTGAGATATTGTGATGGTAGTATACTTTGTAGTATCTTTGTTGGTCTAATTAGTTAGATATTGTGAGGGGATGACCTACTTTGTAGTATCTTTATTGGTCTAATTAGTTAGATATTGTGAGGGGATGACCTACTTTGTAGTATCTTTGTTGGTCTAATTAGATATTGTGAGGGGATGGTCTACTTTGTAGTATCTTTATTGGTCTAATTAGATAGATATTGTGAGGGGATGGTCTACTTTGTAGTATCTTTGTTGGTCTAATTAGATATTGTGAGGGGATGACCTACTTTGTAGTATCTTTGTTGGTCTGATTAGATAGATATTGTGAGAGGATGACCTACTTTGTAGTATCTTTGTTGGTCTAATTAGATATTGTGAGGGGATGGTCTACTTTGTAGTATCTTTGTTGGTCTAATTAGATATTGTGAGAGGATGACCTACTTTGTAGTATCTTTGTTGGTCTAATTAGATATTGTGAGGGGATGACCTACTTTGTAGTATCTTTATTGGTCTAATTAGATAGATATTGTGAGGGGATGACCTACTTTGTAGTATCTTTGTTGGTCTAATTAGTTAGATATTGTGAGGGGATGACCTTCTTTGTAGCATCTTTGTTGGTACATCATTTCATCAACTAGTTTATTTCCAACAGTGTGTAAAGTTCCAGGTTAACTTTAGTGATTGGCATGCTTATGATTTTGATATGAAGGGGTTACAAACCTGTAAAAGAGGACAGACAACTTAAGATTTAATATGTGTTTTATTTTTTATTTTCAGAAAATTACCGGATGGCTGAAACCTATGAAAATCACCTGATAATAAAATTAGTGTTGGTGAGTGTAATAATCATTGACTTACACACACTGACATATGCATACACATGTACGAACATGATATACAGATATCATAATAATGTGAAATAGTTCTATGGCCATCATCCATGTGTTTGTAAACAATGTTTGTAGTGACTTCAGTGGAAGGTATGACCACATGATCTCACTGAGGAGTAGGTTATGAGCACTGTGCATAGTCATGTCAAACTAAAATTCAGACCCATGTTGACTTCCAAGATAATGATCATAGGGTAGGTTTTTGTATGGTTGTCAGATTGTTTTAGCTGAAACTACACAACTGCTATCTTCAGTTTACCTGATATGGCCACCTTCTTGAATTTGATGTACCAATTTGAGAGAGCACATTCACTAATGTATTATGTAAAGTTTGTAAAAATGTGGACCATGTTAGACTGAGACAGAATTATTTACCTTGTCTTGTAAAGAACTTCTTTGACTTTTGTTAAAATCAGATATCTAAGAATAACTTTGCACTTTACAAGAGTAAATTTTTTACCACCCTCAACTCATCTTTGATCGATTGTCAATTTCATTCACAAAATTCTTATTAGTGGACTGTGATTTTCCAGTTTCAGTTTGTGAACTCCTTCCTGTCGCTGTTTTATATAGCATTCTACCTACAGGACATGGACCGCCTAAGAGATGTGAGTGTCTCATTGTTTTCCTGTACACTAGTCTTTGTTATGATCCTGGTGTGTGAAAAGAAATTTTCCTTTGAATATTCTACTTGAAAATTGATGAAAAACATGACAGGCAAGTTTCTGAGGTTTTATAATGCTTCGAAGTATCTAGGATTCAACACTTTTGTTTACCAATGCAGTAATTTTTACAGTCAAAATGACTTTTCACCCAAGAGGAAGATTAATTACTTTAGAAATATGAGTAAACTTGCAGGGGTAACACTGATGAAGGGAACACTTCTTTGAGGAATTGCCATGCTAAATATTTTTACTAAAGGGGCATAACTCTGACAACCCTGTAATCTGAGTCTGTCATACAGGATTCATACAAATAGGAAATGTTCTGTGTGTAGATTTTAAATGTTATACTTTAAATTTTCAGCAACTTGCAGCCATCTTGATAACCCGTCAGGTGATTGGAAACATCAAAGAAGCATTGTTGCCTTATCTCTTGTGGAAAGTCAAACTTTACAAGGTCGGGTATGAAATGATCTATGATACAACAGCTTCAGCCCCAACAGACATCACACACCATATCGAGTCAGTAGGAGGCAGTGAGGGAGAACTCAGAGAAAGGAGAACAACTGAGGATAAAAAGGAATTAAACAATTCTGGAAAAAGTGAAGTAACAGGACAACACCGGAAACCATCATTGACGCAAGCAGAGGTGGAAAGTACCATGAACAAGGTTACATATTCAAGAATGTCTAGAGATGCTAGAATGATAGAGAAGAATTAGGAGTACTGAAGTGGGAGGTTTTTTCTTAAGAATGCTGGGGTCTGAGGATACTGGAGTGGAATAGAAGGGTCTATGGATACTGAGATCTGAGGTGATGTGAGTTGGATGCTGGTGTTTGAGGATATGATAGACGGATACTGGGATGTAAGGGTTCTGAAGTGGGATATTTGTATCTGAGGATACTGGAGTGGGATACTGGAATGGGACATTTGTGTGTTAGGATAATGGAGTAGGATACTGGGGCTTGATGGCTATGTGAAAGGCGAATGCATTACTTCTGTGCAACAAGACTGGAGTAAAGTGTTAATGGAGTTTGATACTAGGGTGTGAGGGTAGTGGAGTGGGATATTTGTATCTGAGGATACTGGAGTGTGATACTGGAATGGGACATTTGTGTGTTAGGATAATGGAGTAGGATACTGGGGCTTGACGGCTATGTGAAAGGCGAGTGCATTACTTCTGTGCAACAAGACTGGAGTAAAGTGTTAATGGAGTTTGATACTAGGGTGTGAGGGTAGTGGAGTGGGATATTTGTATCTGAGGATACTGGAGTGTGATACTGGAATGGGACATTTGTGTGTTAGGATAATGGAGTAGGATACTGGGGCTTGACGGCTATGTGAAAGGCGAGTGCATTACTTCTGTGCAACAAGACTGGAGTAAAGTGTTAATGGAGTTTGATACTAGGGTGTGAGGGTAGTGGAGTGGGATATTTGTATCTGAGGATACTGGAGTGTGATACTGGAATGGGACATTTGTGTGTTAGGATAATGGAGTAGGATACTGGGGCTTGACGGCTATGTGAAAGGCGAGTGCATTACTTCTGTGCAACAAGACTGGAGTAAAGTGTTAATGGAGTTTGATACTAGGGTGTGAGGGTAGTGGAGTGGGATACTGAGGTGTAGGAATACTGGAGTGGGACACTGGAGTAAAGTGTTAATGGAGTTTGATACTAGGGTGCGAGGGTAGTCGAGTGGGATACTGGGGTCTAGGAATACTGGAGTGGGACACTGGGGTGTTTGTATACAACAGTGGGATTTCTGGAGTTTGAAACTTCTTGGTAGAGCGGCATGGGATACTTGAGTGATGTTCTGAAGTCTTAAAAATCAGGGAATATTAGACATATATATATATTTTGCTATTTTGACATCATAAATATTGGCAATACTTTCATTTGGACCTCTAATAAAAAGCTAAACATGCATGTTCATGTTTATTGATGCCCATTGATATTCATTACTATATAAATGCCATTGTTTTTGTCACTGAGACATCAATTATTTCAGTTGATATAACATCAAAATCCATATGATAATTAGCTCTTTTTTTATTCATATGGCATTTATGTTGATGTAAATGACAAAGCTTTGTAGTGACACCCCATACAGTCTACTTGTTATTATGCTATGTTTTGAATGTTTTTGCCTGTTGATTGCAGTATGAGGATACATTTGAAGATTTCCTTGAGATGTTTATACAGTTTGGCTATGTAACGCTGTTTTCGTCGGCATTCCCTCTTGCTGCTCTCTGTGCTCTCATGAATAACATCATGGAGATCAGAAGTGATGCCTTCAAGTTGTGTATGAACCATCAGAGGCCATTTGGACAGCAAGTAGAGAACATAGGAACATGGCAAGATGCTCTGGAACTCATGGGTTTCATCGCAGTCATTGTAAACTGTGCTCTCATTGGTATATCAGGTCAGGTGACTAGAATGGTGCCCAGCTCCAGTGTAGTGTCGATAATCATCATCATTGTGACATTAGAGGTAAGAACATTGACTTCTTTAGTGCTTTAATGATGTCTTACAGTGAACAGGTTTGATAATATCAGTAATTCTAGTGACTAGTTAACGGGCACATTTCTTTTGGTTGGTGTTCTCTTTCTGAGTAACCTTTACTTTTGTGCCTCTCATTCTTGCTCTCTGTTCACCAAGTAAACTTCACTTTTCAGCTGAAAATTATTCTTTTCTTGTCACTCTGTAACCTTTTACTTTCAGCATATCATTCTTGCCCTCAAGTTCCTCATAGCATATGCCATTCCTGATATACCAGAAGCCATAGCAACGAAAAAAGCCAAACTTGAATTTTTACGACGACAAGCATTAAAGGTAACAAAGATAACAGCATGAATTTTTGTTTTTGTTGATTTTTCAGTTCAATTTATATTAACACAAAATGTCTACATCTAAACATTAACTCTCCAACATGTTTTTCTACATATCAGTATATTTAGTTTTATTGGTGTTACTAAATCATATTTATCCAGTACTAAGCTTATGTCTGGTTCGTTATAAGTCCATGCACCCACACCGATGACAGATTCAGCCCTTGTATGATATATCTGTTGCCTGACAATAAGCCCATTGCATTTCAGTGATAATGCTGTGATGCTATTTTACTGTCCTTCAGTAAGCCCACATCATCCTCTGAGTCAAACTTTTTGTATTGTCCTCAGGGTTTATTCCACGATGGATACAACATTTGCTCGATTAATTTCTCTCCTCACATAGCACAAAGTGTTTGTAATCTTCTTTTTATGTAGTGGAATATGATGTCAACCAAAGAGATCATTTTTTCTGTAAAGCACTTTTTAGGAAATGGCATTAGGGTCAAGATATTTGGCCAGAAGCAGTAAAACCTTTCAAGCTCACATTAACAAAGCATATTGAAAATTTCAAAGAAAGTTCCCTTCTTTAAAACCTTTAGGTCCAGTAAGATAATGCAAGGTTATTTAAACACAGAGAATTTGTAACCCAATACACTACATATATTGTTTTAAGATGAACATTTACTGGATCACAGGTAAGTGAAGGGTTTTATAAATCCTTTCTTAATTTATTTAAGGACCAAAGTTTAAATTTTAGGTACTTTGGATTGCTTTTTATTAAGTGTCTGGCCATAAAATGACCTTGACCTACTTTCAAGGTTATATGGAGAAAATTTAAGCAAGTTCAAAGATCACATTCATTGTGTGTTGCAAGGTTATTAGCAAAATCTTTTTTAAGGACGTAGAGTAAAGATTAAAAGGGGTAGGTTTCAAACTTTATGCTGTGTGAACTCTAAAACATTGTTATAACTGGGGACTGTTGGTATAACACAAACAGTAAAGGTCCTTAGTTGTTGTTGTATATCTCGTCATTGTAATATTTCAGAAGTTTGAGTCCTGACAGAGTGGATATAAAGGCAAGAGAAGCATGCTCAATGTTAACTACTGAAATATTAACCAAAAGGAGACATAGAAATTGTAGTGTACTAACTGCCTGATTGAAGTGGAATTGCTACCATTTTGAAAATTATTTCATCTGCATGATGTCACTTCCAGTATTGATCCATGTTAATTTGAGTTAAGAGCCACCCAAGTATTACAACAGGAAAAACAAGTACATCAGTGTGGGATTTGCTTGGTGATATGATGATGGATGTTAAAACGCTTCACCATAATTAGCATCAGATGATGTGTTAATTGATAGGTGGCACCAGCAATGTGTGAGATTTCAAATCTTACTATCAGTGTTTGTTGTCTCCTTCAAAAGGATTGTGTTCAGAGTGTGATGCATGTAGATGTTTCACCAGCAAATCAGACTTTGGTATTTGTCACAGTCCACTTGGTGAATTCCCTTACCTCTAAGAGGTGTAAACAGAGTCTTCTTAGTGTGTGTCAGGTCCTGGCAGACTATACTTTATGTCTGCTCTCAAAAATGATGGTACATGGTCTTTTACAAAGTGATTTCTGGAACCAGGACTTAGACATCAGAGAAATATTGCAGGCTACCCATGCAGTACTGCCATTTTCAAGTCTATCTGATACCAAGCCAAGTCTGGCTGGTACCTTTAAGTAGCATTTGGTACAAATTTATGTCTTATTCATTATCTCTCTGATCCAAACTAGCAAAGAATTTACCTCCCTCAAAACAATTGAGAAAGAACACTCACAGTCGTTAAGTATTTTGACCTATTTAAAAAGGAGAAGAAGAGTCAGTAACCTGTTGAATTAAGTCTGGTACTGACATCTCATGTTTACCTCCAGATTTTATTTTGTAATGATATGCCAGCTCTCAACAGATGTCAGTTGATGTTGAACACATACGTACAGGCAGCAGATCTTACTGTCCTGACAAATGAGATTAATTTAGTCAACCATGTGTGGGTACATTTTTTGTAGGTTTATATATCTTCTGAGGGTGTAGAATATGGGTCAGAACTGAGGTTTTGCCAAGGTTCTTAACCAAGGTTCTACACCCAAGGGTAGGTTACCCAGTCTCCCACATTCCTAAGTACCAAAGTATGGCTGATTATTTTTTCCCATCCCTGAAATGGCTGGTAAACACAATGCAGTTACATAAATGCAAAGCTGAACCACGGACTTATATACACATGTGTATATAAGTCCGTGGCTGAACATAGTACAATATCTTCAAGGGCAAATACGTACTAAAACTAAAGCAACTATGTATGGAAAGATCAGAAATAATGGGTATGATATTTGTATGGTGTACCTTACAAAAAAAACACCAAAACATGGTAATCTCTTCAAACTGATACTTTCTCTCATTCATGAGATGAAGTCATTTGCCATCAACAAGATAATGTCTTCATCAGGAAAGAAATATTTTGACAGGTTTTTGATTGTGACATCATAATGTGACATTGTCATACGACATTAAAATAGTAAAGGTCACATAGTGCATCCATATGGGATGATAGATATTCTACCCCTGTATATATCATTTGGGTTCAGAATCTTGACAAAGCCGTGATTCTGACCCAGATTTTATACTCTCAGGTGGAATATCCATATGTTACATGCTGACACAAGGTTAGCTTTAGCAATCCCTGCCAACAGCTGTTGACGTTGACATTCAGAGACAAAATTACTTTTAACTACTATTGTGATAACTGTCCCAAGAGTTAATCAATGAAAACACTAAAATATACATCTTATATTCCACAGAAACTCGAGTCCCAACTTTCAAATTCTGTGTCACAGAGTCCCACTGACAAGGTTTGTCGACAGAAATCACGGTCAGAAAGCAATGGACATACCAGACAGATTGGTCAGCCTGAGGGATTCAACCGGAATTATTACCAAACAGTGACTGTAAATGCATCACCTCCTTTCAAGAAGAATCTGGGGGAAGTGCATCTCTCCTCATTCCCAGAGGGACCAACCACTGAAGCCTCACAAGCAGGACACTCCCCAAATATCATCGGTTCTGCTTTGACAAACATACCAGACCTAAAGCTTGGCACAGCTTCCCTAAAGACAGGTCAAAATATCTGTACTATAAAGACACCACTGGGTAAACCAACATCCACATATGTGTCCAAAGTGATCATCGCACCAAAACGGAGCGCATCATCCAACACGCCAGAGATATTACAAGCTTCTCCAGGGGAGAGTAGTAGACAGTCCCCAGCCCGGGACTTACTTCCTTCCTATATACCACCCCAACCATACAGAAGCTTGTCAACAAGTCCGTCACACAGGGCCAATAGCCCTGATGGGGACTTTAAACCAAAACGAACATCATCTCCTCAGCGACCAATGTCCCCAAAAATGTGTATTGATTCGAAAATTCCTGTTCGGATTTCTGATGCAGGGAATTCTGGGTGAACAGGAAGGAGTTGTTGATCATTTTCATTTGATGTACATACGTTGATATTCTAATTCATAAAACCTTTGTGCTTATCACTGTTTGATACAGCTATGGGCAGAGTATGTATCTACATTAGATAATTGTATGGTGTAGTGTTAATGGGTTTGATGGTGCTACCACACTATGTGCAATATTTTTAATGCACTATGTATTCACTGAAAGATATTTTTCCCAGGGAATCAAGATCATACTAGTTATTCAGGATGTCAATGGAAAAGGCTTTGGCAGTTCTCATTTTATATCTCCATTTCTGGTGGTAACCTTCCCGAATTGTTGACTCCAAGTAGTAGCTTTGCACTGTGTTGACCCCTGGTGGTAATCTTCCAAATGTTTTATGTCCCAGTTTGTCAATATTTTACACTATCAGCAATCTAGTTGAGGGTTTAGTATGATTGTACTAGCTTTTGCTTAAGGGTGAGAATATTTTGTTAACATTTAAGTCAGCTTTGTAAACACAAATTGCTGAATCATGCTGCTTAATCTGAAACTGATTGATCATTTCAAATGCACAGAATCCTGAATTTCAAGTTTGACTTTTCCTAACTTGTCTCTCAATTTTAGTTTCGATGATGAGGGACGTTTATATGCCACATTTCGTTTATTGCTATTCCATATACATGCTGTGATACAGCTGTGGATGGTGTTAACATTTTGGAGAGTTCCATCATCATTTTTACATATTATCTCTTGTTTTAATACTGTATGTTTAGTTATTACTAGGCTGTTTTAAATGGTGTTGTATGTATGAATAAGTATGTAATACTTATTCACTATTTTAAGTTTTGGTACAATTTTGTTACAGACATATTTTAATTATCAGAACTAGTATGTGAGATTTGTATCTCATTATTTACTATCACAGGGTAGGTGATGTTTGGTAATTGGCTAGTCATATTTGTGTTTGGTATTGTGCTATTTTATTTTCCCAGTAAGATTTTATAAGTAGGTTACCCCTATGTCTGCAGTGACACTTTTGTTTAACTATAGGTTCCTGTTTACAATTTGACATGTGTATTTTAGGTTGTGTATGCGAGATGAAAATTGATACCTGTACTTGTCTATTGGCCTTTGGTATGCAAATTGACAATAGATATTTTTATGTTGGTCAGTTGTTGGCGAGTGGAGAGAGCTGATTCAGATTACGATATCATTGTTTCCCCATTCTGTTGGTGCTAATTGTATTTTTACTCCAAAGTGTGTGCAATAAAATCAGACATTGCTCTTTAATACTCCTCTGAATCATCTTATACAAACTAAGTGTAATATATATGGTCCAGTATTGTTCATATCTTCTGTTTATTTGTTATTACTTTAATTTTAGTGTTTTGTTGAGATTTTTGAGTATTAGAGTCATTGTTTAAAGCCCTTTTCATTTATGATACATATCTTCCATTATACATGCATCAGTTACATAAAACAGCATTTTGTTTGTCCATATTTTAATTGAATAATAATTGAGAATTCCTTATTGATATGACCAGACTAATATTACAGCTTCAGTAGTGATTCTTCAAACTTGCTGGAAGTGTTTTAAGATAGATAACTTATTATGTTACAGCAGATTTCTACTTCCTGGTACCAGGTAGTTCAGAATAAAAACAAAGGAATGCATTTTTCAAGTTAAGAAATGACAGATGGCGATTCTCACCTGGGTAGAGGAAGATAGATGCCTCAATGGCCAGAAAATAAACAAAACTTATTTATCATTATTTTTTCAAAAGAAGAAGATTGCAAAATTGTTGCATTTTGATGCAATTCATAAAATCTTATTCTTTTTGACATTAAATGTATTGAAATTTAGTTACTAATTGTAAAGCTTTTAAATCGTACAGAACCTAAACTTGCACTAGTGCACAATCATCGAGATTTCTAATGGCTGGCTTCATTGTCTTAGAGATTAAGACTGACTTTTTCTATTGCCCAGCTTCATTGTCTTGAACATTCTATGAACATTTCTGTCACTGTAATATCTCTGTTCTGTACAGTGGATCCCTTGGGTAGTCCAAGTCATATTGATTCTATGTATAAATTTTGCACCAATATAATATTTGTTAATTTTCCAAACGTTATTAAGGTGTCTGGTTACTTTTCATGTTTTATGTCATATTTGTTTCCAAATAAATCTTAACAAATCAAGGTTTATTCTTCTGTTATCTATATGTTTTGTCATATAACTATATACATGTGTATTAAATAACTGATGTTTCATGAAAGATAAGTAACATCAAGTTCCTACAACACTTCTTAAAAGAATCAGTGTCACCACACACAGTTGTTGAAATAACACCAGGAACAAAACAATTCTCATAGTCATGGCTTTAATAGTTGTTCGTTTGACAATATATAGAAGTTATAGATCACATCAATATTCGAGTACAAAGTTCAGATCTTTGTAGGTAAAATAATACTTGAGATATGTGTCACTGGTATTACACATCAAAGAATACTCACAAAAAAAACCTGAGGCAAAACCACTATAATACCCAAGGCTTGATCTAGCTCCCAGCTCTACACAGACAAAACTCTGACCAGTAACCGTTCATAATCAGCAAAAGTACTGCCAGACTAATCACAGCACACTCGGAAAAAAGTGATAACTCCTCCCTAAACTGGTGAACCTCCAGCTACACTCTCAATCAGCATACCAGGCAATCACAGATCACATTCAGCCAGCACACTGGCCAACCACAGACCACACTCAGCCAGGACAATGGCCAACCACAGACCACACTCAGCCAGGACAATGGCCAACCACAGACCACACTCAGCCAGGACAATGGCCAACCACAGACCACACTCGGCCAGCACACTGGCCAACCACAGACCACACTCAGCCAGGACAATGGCCAACCACAGACCACACTCAGCCAGGACAATGGCCAACCACAGACCACACTCGGCCAGCACACTGGCCAACCACAGACCACACTCAGCCAGGACAATGGCCAACCACAGACCACACTCGGCCAGCACACTGGCCAACCGCAGACCACACTCACCCAGCACACTGGCCAACTACAGACCACACTCAGCCAGCACACTGGCCAACTACAGACCACACTCAGCCAGCACACTGGCCAACTACAGACCACATTCAGCCAGCACACTGGCCAACTACAGACCACATTCTGACAGCACACTGGCCAACCACAGACCACACTCTAGTTTGCAAACTAGCCAACCATAAACCTCACTCCAAAAGCAACGTTGCCGGCTGTAGAAAATACTGCAAGAACACTGGCTGACCAGAAAACACTCTCCATACTTTGCCAGACTGGCCTACCACATACCCAACTTAGTCAGACCACAGGCCAACACTCAATCAGCACAATGATCATCCTTAGACCACACTGTAAAATGACTCACTACTTTTCACCAGTACAATGACCAACATATTTGGCTAACCACTTTTTGACTAAGCTAGTCTTGTGCTGAGATACAATGGCAGGCAGAGCTGTAGTTTTCTGTTGATATTGAACATTACAATCAAAACATGTTCATAACGCTGCTCTAAAAAAGCAAAAGTTGTGTGTACCAGCTTGAACATTACATTTACTCTAATTATCAAGGGTGAAATACCAGTTAATACATGTTCACCCTATTGTTGGAATCTACCAAATGTTGTACTAGCACTGTGTAGCCCACAAAAAATTACTTGATAACTTCAGTCTGTTATAAGAAATCAGGAGCATTCCTTCAACCCTTTTTCAACTGCCCTGGTAAACCAACATTAAATCGTGTCCATGTAGTTGTGATTAAATTTGAATTTTAATTGACAGCAGCTGTCAAAAAAGAAACTCTACACACGGAGACCATCCTGATGATAGGATGTAGTACGATTGATTGGTTGTTGTTGATCCACCTCACACAAAGCTATCAGTTTGTTAAAGATCTATCCAAAGTAATTGCTTTTGTATGTAAAATTACTGTTCAGCACTATCATGTTTTTCGTTGATAATTCGTTTGATGCCTACACTGCCTGTTCTGGCCACTCAATCTAGACCTTTTAGTGTTTGTGAAAGTCCACCTTGTCTTGTGTCTGTATTAGTCCACCTTGTCCTACTGTGTCTGTATTAGTCCACCTTGTTCTACTGTATCTGTATTAGTCCACCTTGTCCTGTGTCTGTATTAGTCCACCTTGTCCTGTGTTTAAGTCCACCTTGTCCTACTGTGTCTGTTTTAGTCCACCTTGTCCTACTGTGTCTGTATTAGTCCACCTTGTCCTACTGTATCTGTATTAGTCCACCTTGTCCTACTGTGTCTGTTTTAGTCCACCTTGTCCTGTGTCTGTATTATTAGTCCACCTTGTCTTGTGTTTGTATTAGTCCACCTTGTCCTACTGTGTCTGTATTAGTCCACCTTGTCCTGTGTCTGTATTATTAGTCCACCTTGTCCTGTGTCTGTTTAAGTCCACCTTGTCCTACAGTGTGTGTATTATTCCATCTTGTCCTACTGTGTCTGTATTAGTCCACCTTGTCCTACTGTATCTGTATTATTCCATCTTGTCCTACTGTATCTGTATAAGTCCACCTTGTCCTACTGTATCTGTATAAGTCCACCTTGTCCTACTGTGTCGGTATTAGTCCACCTTGTCCTACTGTGTCTGTATTAGTCCACCTTGTCCTGTGTCTGTATTAGTCCACCTTGTCCTACTGTATCTGTATAAGTCCACCTTGTCCTACTGTGTCTGTATTAGTCCACCTTGTCCTACTTTATCTGTATTAGTCCACCTTGTCCTACTGTGTCTGTTTTAGTTCACCTTGTCCAGTATCTGTATTAGTCCACCTTGTCCTACTGTGTCTGTATTAGTCCACCTTGTCCTACTGTATCTGTATTAGTCCACCTTGTCCTACTGTGTCTGTATTAGTCCACCTTGTCCTACTGTGTCTGTATTAGTCCACCTTGTCCTACTGTGTCTGTATTAGTCCATCTTGTCCTACTGTGTCTGTATAAGTCTACCTTGTCCTACTGTGTCGGTGTTAGTCCACCTTGTCCTACTGTGTCTGTATTATTCCATCTTGTCCTACTGTATCTGTATTAGTCCACCTTGTCCTGTGTCTGTATTAGTCCACCTTGTCCTACTGTATCTGTATTAGTCCACCTTGTCCTGTGTCTGTATTAGTCCACCTTGTCCTACTGTATCTGTATTAGTCCACCTTGTCCTACTGTATCTGTATTAGTCCACCTCGTCCTGCTGTGTGTGTATTAGTCCACCTCGTCCTTCTGTGTCTGTTTTAGTCCCCAGTGTCTGTATTGACCTATCAAGTCAACTTGTTCCTTTATTTTATTGTAGGATAAAATAGATTATCTTTTTAGTACATACAACCTCCAAAGTTTCATTATTCAGCAATTGTATTCTTTGTCTGACTTTTCAAAAATTGTAGCCCTGCATAGGAATGTGATAACTGGACAGGCTGTTATAAAGTGACTGCATAATGTCATAATAAAACTTGAACAAGAACTAACAATCGAAATCAAAACTTAATAAATATTTGTACATTATTACATTTCATTTGTTTTTAAATGTTTTATCCCTGCATCAGTCGCCATTGCTCACAAGCACACAGAAGTATCTTTTCATCAGAACAAATCTTCTAATTTAGTAATTACATATCAATGTAACAAAATATTGAATCAAATATTGATTCTCAATAATGATCACATGGAATTTGGATTACCAATATTTCATTTTGTAATAATTATAACAACATCCATTAATGCAGTGACATACACAACAGTTCCTGACATACCATTAGTCTTGTACACGACCTTATGCCCCATTAAAAATACGTCAATACAAAACACCATTAAACAGTGTAAGATACCACAAGATTCCCAGACAGAACATTCAGTCAGGCCCATGACTTAGTCCAAAGTAATCAATATTTAATATAACTTTCAATAATTCATCAATAGTTAGAGATTATTTAGAATCCACTTAAATAATCTAAAATGTAACTGAAAGGAAATGCTGTTCATAAAAAACAATGAATTGACAAAACAAGTGCTCTATCAAGACTGAAATAATTATGACAGTACTACATAACTGTACTGATACATGTGACAGTACCAGGTAACTGCACTGATACATGTGACAGTACTACATAACTGTACTGATACATGTGACAGTACTACATAACTGTACTGATATATGTGACAGTACCAGGTAACTGCACTGATACATGTGACAGTACTACATAACTGTACTGATACATGTGACAGTACCAGGTAACTGCACTGATACATGTGACAGTACTACATAACTGTGCTGATACATGTGACAGTACTACATAACTGTACTGATATATGTGACAGTACCAGGTAACTGCACTGATACATGTGACAGTACTACATAACTGTGCTGATACATGTGACAGTACTACATAACTGTACTGATATATGTGACAGTACCAGGTAACTGCACTGATACATGTGACAGTACTACATAACTGCACTGATACATGTGACAGTATCAGGTAACTGCACTGATACATGTGACAGTACTACATAACTGTACTGATACATGTGACAGTACCAGGTGACTGCACTGATACATGTGACAGTACTACATAACTGTACTGATACATGTGACAGTACTACATAACTGTACTGATCCATGTGACAGTACCAGGTAACTGCACTGATACATGTGACAGTACCAGGTGACTGCACTGATACATGTGACAGTAACAGGTAACTGCACTGATACATGTGACAGTACCAGGTGACTGCACTGATACATGTGACTGTACTACGTAACTGTACTGATACATGTGACAGTAACAGGTAACTGCACTAATGTGACAGTTCCACGTAACTGCACTGATACATGTGACAGTACGAGGAAACTGCACTGATACATGTGACAGTAACAGGTAACTGCACTAATGTGACAGTTCCACGTAACTGCACCGATACATGTGATAGTACCAGGTGACTGCACTGATACATGTGATAGTACCAGGAAACTGCGCCGATACATGTGACAGTACCAGGAAACTGTGCTGATACATGTGACAGTACTACATAACTGCACTGATACATGTGACAGTACTACATAACTGCACTGATACATGTGACAGTACTACATAACTGTACTGATACATGTGACAGTAACAGGTAACTGCACTTATACTAATAAATGTGACAGTACCACATAACTGGGCAGAATATTTTATAAAAAGTATGAAAAATATATCACGACTGTACTTGGGGAAAAAAAACAAACCAAAAAAGAAAGGAACAAGTAGTGACAACAAATAATCAGATCAAGAAATGAAATAAGAGGCCATTAATGCCCTCTCCAGGCAAGGATAAGCAATGATACTCAAGTTTGATTATGAATCGAGGAAAGGATAAAGAAACCACAATACTAAAGTTTGATTTTGACTCGATAAATGGAAAAACTACAGTACTCAAGTTTGATCAGTCTCGATAAATGGATAAACCACCGTACTAAAGTTTGATCATGACTCGAGGAAAGGATAAACCACCGTCCTCAAGTTTGATCATGACTCAAGGTAAAGGATAAACCACAGTACTCAAGTTTGATCATGACTCAAGGTAAAGGATAAACCATCGTACTCAAGTTTGATCATGACTCAAGGTAAAGGATAAACCACGGTACACAAGTTTGATCGTGACTCGAGGTAAAAGATGAACCACGGTACTCAAGTTTGATCATGACTCGTGGTAAATGATAAACCACGGTACACAAGTTTGATCGTGACTCGAGGTAAAGGATCAACTACGATACTGAAATAATGAATATCAATAGAATGAAGAATTGAAAACATTAATATGCCGTGGCAAGCAACAAAAAACCTGACCACATGATTAGAAGTATCAAAAAATTATATTCCTGTTCAGATACAGGAATGAAATTACAAAGAATTAACAACAACAACAGAAGTCAAGTAGAAGATCAATAAACAAAAAAATCAATATGAAAAAATCCAGGATTATCTTGGCCTGTATCAATCTTATCACTCTTCATAAAGGTTCGTATCCTGAAGCATCTTAACGAACTACAGGAAGATTCCATAATACTCTAGGTAATTATGCAATGGAAAAAGGTAAAAACATACAATCACCCACACTAAAACTAAGTCTTATAACACACCTGTTACAGTTAAATTTCATAGGTACCTGGTTAAAAAAAATCTCCAACCTAATATACCAACTATGCAAGCAACATGTTATTAGTATATTCTTGTAGATAGTACTAATATTGGAAGAATAATAAACAAATAGAAATTAATATGTCCATAATTAATTAATATAAACCATGTAAAAAGGATATGACCAGTACTTCATTATTATTCTTGTTAAACATGCATTAAATAAATATTGGCAAATCAAAATAGTGGACAAATTTAAAGACAAATTTATGATATGTTTCATGCAGGTTAATGATATTGAATTAGCTCCCTTGTATCTCTTGGTAACAAACCATACACAAATCCTTTGGTAACTTCAATTAAGAACAATCTTAGGTCTGCATGACTATGTCTCTTTTTAACCTCGAATTCATGAGTGTTCCGCCATAAAAGTCTCAAAAGACAGCACTATCTCACCCTCACTGGCGTACACAGGTAAACACATTATAAAAATAGCAGTCTAATTGTTATTAAATAAGTATATTTCATCACAAGTTCAGTCTGAGATAACAAAATAACTTTAAAAAAATTATGCCTGACTATTTCGCAATGTACATAAAACTTAAAACTTAAAAACCAGTGCAGGACATATTTGCTGTAATGTGAATGGTTTTTAACACAAGTTCATAAAATCATATGCTTTGTATATGTATAATACTTTCCAGTATCTATACATTAACAGAATTTTCTGTTTTTCAAAACAATGAGGCTTACATTTAATATTCAACTGTATCAATGGAATTACAAAGTTTCAAATTTTGAACAAGTCTCATTTTATTTGGAGAGCTTGTATTGAAACACATTTTTACCTACAATGTAGGTAAGTTCTAATGCAAATATTTGCTTTACAGTTAAGTATTTAGAATTAATTCTCCTAACAACATAATATAGATATAATTAAAAACAATACATGGATACTGCAACAAAGTCAAAGTGGTTAATTCAAAAATTACTAAAACACCCTGTGGCTTCTGGTGTCTGAAATATGTAAAGTGTCATACATGGTAATATTGAAAAGGTGAACACAAGAAAGTAACCTGAGAGGAACTTCAGGGTCAAAAACCATATAGTCAAATTGGTATTATAACTCTTGATACAACTTATTGTCAACAGAAAACATTTTGAATTGTCATCCAAATTAAGACAATATTCTTTTCCGAACTGGTTCCACATTTTTGAGTCAGATTATGAATTAAAGTCTGGTTATAACAAGTTAATGACATATTCTTTGAAAAATTTGTGTTTCTTTAAAAATTGGATTAAAGAAAAAAATCTAAAAAAGTTATGAAAATATATGAAATGTAACTGAAAAACCAGACAAAATCATTTGGGCTAAATCCAGAATATGTCAGGGTCAAGAGCAAGATTCTCAGTTGACCAGCCCTTCAAATAGATAAAACACTTAAATTAGACATCAAAAGTATATCCTGCTCATAAATAATGTGGGAGGGGGGAAGGATTTCATTCTAATAACAATTTATCAGAGTTGTCAATATTCCAAAATTCAAATTAGTTAGTGACTCTGTCCATAAGCTGATTGATGAAGTTTGATACAAATTTATACCCTTCATTAACATGTGACTGCCAATATATACATCATTATATGACACCCATATGACATGGTGACACCTAGCTGTTGACATATTGTACACTACTATATGACATGGTGACACCTAGCTGTTGACATATTGTATACTACCATATGACATGGTGACACCTAGCTGTTGACATATTGTACATTACCATATGACATGGTGACACCTAGCTGTTGACATATTGTACACTACTATATGACATGGTGACACCTAGCTGTTGACAAATTGTACATTACTATATGACATGGTGACAACTAGCTGTTGACATATTGTACACTACTATATGACATGGTGACACCTAGCTGTTGACATATTGTACATTACTATATGACATGGTGACAACTAGCTGTTGACATATTGTACACTACTATATGACATGGTGACACCTAGCTGTTGACATATTGTACATTACCATATGACATGGTGACACCTAGCTGTTGACATATTGTACACTACTATATGACATGGTGACACCTAGCTGTTGACATATTGTACATTAATTGTAGTAGGTTTCAATCACAACCCACATCTTGCACCACAAGTAAGTAGGACATTTATTGGTCATTAACGTGATTTATTTTGACATTTTACTTCATCGCCCTGCATACCTTTTGGTATCCATTTATCAACCAACTCACTTTGAACTGATCTTAGTGTTATTTTTTTTCGTTAATCTTCAATTGTATAATCTTATGTGAGGATGTGACACCTAGCTGTAAACATATTGTACATTATCATGTGAGGATGTGACACCTAGCTGTAAACATATTGTACATCATCATGTGAGGATGTGACACCTAGCTGTAAACATATTGTAGATTATCATGTGAGGATGTGACACTTAGCTGTAAACATATTGTACATCATCATGTGAGGATGTGACACCTAGCTGTAAACATATTGTACATTTTCCTGTGACAAGGTGACACCTATCTTTAAACATATGCTACATTGTCATGGGACAAAAATGACAACCAACTGTTACATCATAATGTGAGGTGGTGACACCTAACTGTCAACATACAACATACTACAATGAGGTGATAACCATCAACATTTTGTTCTTCATATGACAAAATGAGTCACTGTTGTCAATGTATGGTATATCTTTATGTAGCAGAGTTGACACCTGTCAACATATTCTTGAGTATCACAGATTTCATGCACAATGAGTCAGCACTCAACTATATGAGCCAGACACATGCTAGACTGATTGAAACAAATTTCACTAACACCATTCACAGTGAACAATGAATAACAATGTCTACCTTTGGTAAGGTATTCTTGTTCATCATTCTATATAGACTGTAACTATAGTAACAGCTACTTGTTTGACACCATCAAACTCATTAAATATACATGAAGTCAATGCACTTAATTGATGACCTAGATTTGACCCAGTCAAACTATTTGGTCAGGTTTGTCTTCAGTAGATGCCCTACGTATGCGTATCTCAACCATATCAGTGGTGAGGTGCCCCATGATGACACTATCTGCCGACCCATGGTGATCTGGACGATTCTCCTCTGATTCTTCTTCCTGGCCTGAATGCTCCTCTTCCTCTGTCAGTTTCATTTCACTCACCACCAGCTTGGCAATGTCGCTGATACTGTCATTTTCATCAAGGGAGATCTGTCGTAACCGGTGTCTGATCACTTTCTCCATGCGTTTGTGTCCAACCTCCTCTGCCTGCTTCAATAAGGCATTCTCATTAAGCATTTTAATTGAGTTTTTCTTATTACAATCAAATTTTCCGTCAAAGAAGGCCCCTGCAGTAGAGGGACTGCCAGGGGGACTCTTATCAATCATACAAGAGGTGTCGATCTCGTCAGTGATGGTTGTGTACTCGGACCTCAGTGATGTAAGAATGGGTGTGAGCTGGGCCACCATGGAACTGGGTACAGTGTACATAGAGGTGGCAGGATGCCCAGTTGACCGTACCGGGGATGAGGAAAGGGAAGTGGTGATGATAGGTGGATCTTTATTGGTAATCTCTTGCTGTTCCTCATCTGACATGTCTTCAATCATATCACCAGTTGTCTTGTGACCCGTTGACATCCTGGTGTCCACGACAAGTTTGGCTGTGGTGTACACAGCAGCTGATTGGTTGTTATCTAACACATTGTGTTCACGTACCAGTACACCTCGTGGCTTGATGGCAAGTTTTGTGAGATCCTCAGAAGATGATAAGTTAGCTTTGTCTATATCAACCATTAGTTTGGGCCCACCAGGCCCACCTTTCCTGCGCTGTTGTAGAGATTTTTCCTTCAGAATACCTTGGTCTGGTTTTTTGACCTCAGGACTTGCTTCTGTAACACAAGGAAGGGCAATGCGTGACTTGAGACTTTGAGAACGGTCGAGCTGTGACCGCTGACATGTTGGTTTGGTGAAGTCTGTGTAGCGGTGCACATGCTCCTCCTTCACTGGTTTCTTGGAATGTATCAACAGAGGTGACGGTATACTGCGCATAGTAGCATTGGCATCTGGTGACACTACAGAGGACTCCGATGATCTTTCTGCCCCTCCTCCCTGGCTAGGAGCAGATTCTTGCTCTGTCTTTGTTGGTGTATCATACAGGTGTAAATCAGCCACTTCCACAATGGAGTCCTGGCTGCCCAGACGACCATGACTTGATGTGCCACTTGATGCACTGATGTGACGTACTCCTCGGGCCATAAGGTTTCGCATGGAACTAAGTGTATCAGCTGACTGGACAGAAATCTCCTCCAGTTTTGACAGACGGTACTCAACTGTTTGTAACGAAAGCTTGATGGAATTCTCCTTTTGGTTCACATCATCCATCCGCAGTGTCATGTTCTCAACCCTGTAACAGAAGAAGATTCGAGTAAATAATTCTTGAACAATGCTATTTTGAGAGCAAACCAAAGTACCATAAGGAAACCTATGTTGTTGATGACACCATACATAGATGTGAGATTTGTGTACTGCTACCATCCCACAACCATATAGTGATAATACAACATTGATAATTTTTCTACATATAAAACATCAAGTAACAATCAACTACATCAGATCAGTAAGTTATCAATTTCTGGTGACAACACATGTTAGAAAATTCGGGAATTTGTACAGGCAAACTAAATTAACCTGCCTAATTAACCTCTACATGGATTTCGTATCGATCGTGAATCTTCTATAATATCCTTATCATTCTAACTGTGGCATTAATATCAATATCCACTAGCTTGTAATCAATATGAAGGTCAGTCAAACATTTCGTTTTGACAGGAAATCTTTTTTTTCTCACAGCAGAATTAAGTTCCTCTTTACTCATCTTGCAAATGATACATGTAGACTCTATCAACAGAATCCTGCAGGCCTGTAATCTTATAGAAATGCTTTTATAAAGAAGTTAATTGCATGCCTTACAAACAATACTAAGGACATGCCTGATTTATCCCAGAGTAGTGCTTTATTAGTCTTCATTGTTGGTAAGATTTTATGTCTAGAAGTGAGTAGATGCCTAATTATAAACATTGATCTACTTAAAGATTTTTGAAGATGATGTGACCCTGAATTGCTGTAGAGATCCAACTTATATTCAAAGTTAAAATAGAGACCTTTCATTGATGACCCGGATTCTTTCTTCATTCGAGGACTGAAACTGATGTTCCTTTTCTCGGAAATAGTCTTCTATACACTCCTCCTCAAAGTCGTGTAGCTTCTCTGTATCATCCAGCGACAAGAACAGTTCTGAGAATGGAAAGTACAAGTCCATCATAGTTTAAATGTTAACACTGAATCAAACTCTCTTCAATATCATAGCAAGGCTAAACTTTCAATATAAATCTGTCAAACAACAAAGCATCACATTATCCTTCAGACAACAAACTTTTTATGTGAAGTAACTGTTATACAAGAAGTCCAATATTCTAAAGACTTGAAAAGTTTTGTAAAACATCCAGAAAATGATACTATGGATACTATATGTATTGTATTAATCAGGCAATAATTCATTATCTAGTAATATACCCATATAACTGTACAATAGAGTTAGAAATAAATGCTATTTCATTGTCCTGTAAAAAGCCCAACCTCTTAATTTGAGCTAGAGGAAATGAGTTGGCCCCCTTGGACTTATTGTCCTATACAAAACCTGACTTTGCACCACAGATAATGAGGTGGTCTCTTGGGCTTGTTGTCTTATGAATTACCACCTATGACTTCAAATCAGAGGTAATATTATAATAAGATGCCCCATTGGGCTTATTGTCATATACAACACCTGACTTTGAACCATTTGAACAAGAGGTAATGAGTAGGCCCCTGAGTAATTGCAGGAGAGATAAGCAAACTATCTCTTTAAATTCTTTAAGTGCCTCCATAATGACTTACTTAGTCCATTGTCAAACAGATCTCGTTTGCCTTTGCAGCGCCGAATCATGAACTTGAAAGCCAGAAAGATGTGACTAAAGAATAGCAATGGAGGTGGAAGTATTGGACGAAGTTCGTAGTTTATGATAAGCTGATATCGCTGGAATTTCCAGATCTCTCTTGAATTTGCATTGTTTTTTATGAAAGTCGCACTGAAAAAGGAAGTTTATATCAGTTAGTTGTTAGATAAGATATTGACAGCACATATTGTTTTTATATATACCTCACGAAAACATATAATAGAATTGGTTCTGATTCTTACTCGCTGCGTGCAGATTTAAGTGTCCAGGTAAAAGATTTGGAAATATTTTCAGAATAAAAACAACACATCCAGGGGCCTGAACATTCACCTAAGTGAACTCATAAATGGAAAAAATTGGAATGAATGTGAAGTACAGAGAAGAGAAAATGACCAATGCTATTTGTACAGGGACAGAAGAGACCCTTTCATCCATAATGAGTATTTGATTCTAACATAGTTTTTTAATGAGAAGATTTTTGAAATTTCAGTCAATGTAATCCTTTTTGGCCATACCCATTAACCCCTGGAGGTCAGCCAGGTCATTCATTGTATTATGATTTTACCATATTTGGGTAAGAAGATCTTAAAATTTTTGACCCCACCCATCAGTATATCATACTTAAGAAACATCCAAATTTGTCAGCACTCTGGCAGCTTCACTCCTTGAGTGATTGCAATCAAACTTCACACATTTATAAAAGATGATAATATCTAGAACAAATATGACTTTCATGGTTGAAAGGTCAACATCACTATTTCTAATTTTAGAAAATCCTTTAAAGTTCAGAATAGAAACTCCATTTCTTCAAACAAACGTCACACATATAATAAGGATTATGATGTCTTGGAAGGGTTTCAATTTAAGGGTTACAAGATTAGCACTATATGCTATGCCCCATCTCCCTATAACCTGGTTCAGACATCAAAAAGAATGTACTTTTAGAGAAAAACACAACAGAAAATCCTCTACAATGTAGGAGTGCAATCTAAATATTATCAACTTCTTTTGATCACATATCAGGGATACACAAAGACTTTTTCTGTCACAGACACTGCAGAATCAATGTGAATCAAAATGACCCCTGACCAAGCTTTAGGTAGGAGGCCATCCCGATCAAGAATCACATCATGTAACGAATGATTTTTCACTTCATCCCTTGAATAAGAAGTACTCACTTGAAGCGTGCAATGAGGAGATTGACCAGTAAAATATTGGCCACCAAGAGGTAGACACACATCAGAGCAGGTGCTACCCATGACCCGTATGTACAGCCTTCTGGATGGCGCTCAATGTCTGTACAAGCTAAAAAAAAAAAAAATACATAAGAGCATCAAATGAATGCTCCCCAAAAGCAATTTTATTGGACACAACATTTTAACAAAGGGCAATAATTCTGTTTTCAAGGAGTTGTGGGCCCTTAATTTTGTACAATGCAAATAATCCTCATATAACCAATGTATACACCATTTCGTTTGTTGAGCATAGTTGTACTCTAGACATGAATACTTTTACAAAGGGCAATAACTCTGTAATTAAAGGGTAGTGGGCCTAAATTTGGTACATTGCACATCATCCTAGTATGACCAATGTATATACACCAAGTTTCACAATTCTTGCTTAACTATGGGCAACATTATAATCTGGACACAAATCTTTTAGCAAAAGGTAATAACTCTGTAATTAAGTTTGTGGGCTCTGACATTTGTACACTGTGCATGGTCTTAGTCTGACCAATGTATCCACCAAATTTCATTATCTTACCTACCAAAGGACAATAATTCTATTATCAAGGAGTTGCAGGCCTTGTTTTTGATGCACTGCAAATTGTCTTGGTATGACCAATGTAAACACCAAGTTTCATGATCCTTGCTTAACTTATGCTCCTGACACAAAAGTATGAAAGTGGCAACTATATACTACCACAAAAAATTAATGTAAGTTAGAGTAGGACAGTGTTTAGTGTGGCACTCATTGTGTAGCCCTTCCGTTCTACAAATACATTATGTTTAGCTTTCAGAGAGATAATATTTGCCTATTCATGCTCAAGTAATAAACAAACAATTATTGTCTGCTTTGCAATGAATTAAAACATCATTAAAACATCATTGATTTATCTTTTATTCCTGTGCAATAAAAACTGCTACTTTCAGTGTACAAACAGGCATGACTTACTTACCTACCATTACCAACCTAAGTATTCCCCGTTATTCCCTCTAGTGTAGCTTCTACTTACTGTCAATCTCATCAGCAAACAGTTCCCCATAAATCATCCAGTAGGGATAAAAGAACATATTGCGGACCAATTTAAAGGACGGTTCCTCATCTTGGAAGTGGATGGCCTGTCTCACAATCCCAAAGCTCATCAACACAATCAGGAGAATGATGATGAAATAAGACATGTCCCTCAGCTACAACAAACAAAGTGTGAAAGGTCAATGTCATCTGGTTGATCAAACACCAAAACCAGTCAAATGAAAGAAGAAAGAAGAGAGGACATCGTGACCGTGATACCCCATCAATCTGACGGCATATTGGTACTAGGGACAGTGATTTAGATATCCATGATCCTGATATAACATGTGACTAACAAATGACCTTGACAGATGTTGTACTACTTATCAAGACTATTCCTACAATGAGATATGAAGGACTTACCAGCTTTCCAATGATCTTGACATAGGGGCCGAGATATTTATTGACAGAAAGGATCTCCAAAATACGGATGTACCAGAAGACGATGTTGATAGTATACAGGACACGCACGTTGTTGGTGGTATCCTGCACGTGTCGCATCAGGACGGCCACAGTAAACAGCATTACTCCAATAGAATCCCACACATTCCATAATTGACTAAAGTGTACACGTAATTTCACACGAATCTTCACTGGCTCTGAGGCTATCACCTGTGCAACGGGGAAAGATGAATTAAGTTCCTAATCTTTTATCAATAGAAAATTTAAAATAAACTTTTACTCTCAAACATTAACCAAATAAGTTAAAGCCCTTCAAGTGTCTAATTTTCACCATATGATTGGATGGCAAATTTTCATTCTAGAAAACTTGCTATTAAATGGCAAATATATGATATGAACCTGTAACACATGATCAACTCCAAAAATCATTTAGCCCAAACATAGTGAGCATAGGACCTTGATGTGGAAGGAGACTACAGTACTTAACAAACCTTGCATGGTTAGGAATTCATAACCCAACTGCCGTGGTGAAAGATGAGTGTGCTATTTAATCAGCCACTTTACGACCCAAGTATACAAGTTAACAGTTCCTAAGATATTGTCTGCCAAACATCACCATCTGGACCTCATATTGGAATGTCCTTCATTTTAAAATGTTTCTGGATTTCTCATTATGGTGTTTGTTTTATATTAACTTGTGTTCAATAGGTTGATTTTGAAATGGTTCTAACCAGAGCAAATATCCTTGTTCTCTATCTACTATATCTTCTTACAGAGCCAATAATGAATTTAATTATGTTGTTATATGAGTTGGTAAGGTAGACAAACTTTGATTGGCATTGGGTAGGGGGTCTCAAAAACATACTTATTCTACTTTCCAATCTCTCAGCTTTCTAATGTCTATAAAGATTCGGTGTTTCCGTACATGTAATGTGCTGATATCTTGTTGATTTGTTCTGGACACATTTTGTACTGATATCTTCTTCATGGTTCTGAATAAGTCACATGCTCTTATGCCATTGATGGTTATGAACAAGTTATGGACTGAGTTATAGTATTGATAGTTCTGAACAAACAAGTCATGTACAAGTATAGTGTTGATGGTTCTGAACAAGTCATGTACAAGTATAGTGTTGATGGTTCTGAACAAGTCATGTACAAGTATAGTGTTGATGGTTCTGAACAAGTCATGTATATGATGGTTCTGAACAAGTCATGTACAAGTAGAGTGTTGATGGTTCTGAACAAGTCATGTACAAGTATAGTGTTGATGGTTCTGAACAAGTCATGTACAAGTATAGTGTTGATGGTTCTGAACAAGTCATGTACAAGTATAGTGTTGATGGTTCTGAACAAGTCATGTACAAGTATAGTGTTGACGGTTCTGAACAAGTCATGTATAAGTATAGTGTTGATGGTTCTGAACAAGTCATGTACAAGTATAGTGTTGACGGTTCTGAACAAGTCATGTACAAGTATAGTGTTGACGGTTCTGAACAAGTCATGTACAAGTATAGTGTTGATGGTTCTGAACAAGTTATGTATGGCTATCATATTGATGATTCTATGAACGGTTAATGTGTTGATGGTTCTTACATATTATACAAGCTATGATGAACAGTAAGGATTTTGTTGTGTAAATCAATATTTGTTATGATGACACTGTCAGGCTTTGAATCACATGATTTATAACTAACAGTAACCAAAAAATGGTTAAACAACAGTCAGTATACATGACAGTGACAGGAGCAAAATTAATGTAACAGATTTCCAGTATATAGATTACAACATTAGACCAATCACATTTAAGCTGTTACTGATACAGAAACAGTTCATGCTTTATACACAATTTCCAGGAGCACAACTCTGGAAAAGAGTTTGTTCAAACAACTCAAATGTAGAGGATGGCAAAAGTCACTTAAAGATCCCTGTTGCCAAGTGCTTTATAGAAGGCTAGATAAAATGAGAACTTTAACAGATAAAGACCAAATGGTGACAAAGTCTATTGATTCTTCTATAACATTTGTGTAGTCATTAACACCCTCCACTTTCCATTATACTGGTATTGACATGATATTGAATATTCCAGAATTTAACCGAACAAAATCAAAATCCTTCAAAAGCCTGAAATACTACAAGCTAACATATAATAGAATATACAATTCACTCAAAACCACTACTATATACTTACTTCCTTGTCTACAACCCTACAACTTACAGAACCTGACACCCCCTCAAATCCCTCCTATACCTCTCTATCTACAACCCTACAATTTAAAGAACCTGACACCCCCTCAAATCCCTCCTATATCTCCCTGTCTACAACCCTACAACTTACAGAACCTGACATCCTATCACATCCCTCCTATACCTCCCTGTCTACAACCCTACAACTTACAGAACCTGACACCCCCTCAAATCCCTCCTATACCTCCCTGTCTACAACCCTACAACTTACAGAACCTGACACCCCCTTACAGAACCTGACACCCCCAAATCAAATCCCTCTATCTCCCTGTCTACAACCCTACAACTTACAGAACCTGACACCCCCTCAAATCCCTCCTATATCTCCCTGTCTACAACCCTACAACTTACAGAACCTGACACCCCCTCAAATCCCTCCTATATCTCCCTGTCTACAACCCTACAACTTACAGAACCTGACACCCCCTCAAATCCCTCCTATACCTCCCTGTCTACAACCCTACAACTTACAGAACCTGACACCCCCTCAAATCCCTCCTATACCTCCCTGTCTACAACCCTACAACTTACAGAACCTGACACCCCCTCAAATCCCTCCTATATCTCCCTGTCTACAACCCTACAACTTACAGAACCTGACACCCCCTCAAATCCCTCCTATATCTCCCTGTCTACAATCCTACAACTTACAGAACCTGACACCCCCTCAAATCCCTCCTATACCTCCCTGTCTACAACCCTACAACTTACCCTCCTATACCTCCCTGTCTACAACCCTACAACTTACAGAACCTGACACCCCCTCAAATCCCTCCCTGTCTACAACCCTACAACTTACAGAACCTGACACCCCCTCAAATCCCTCCTATATCTCCCTGTCTACAACCCTACAACTTACAGAACCTGACACCCCCTCAAATCCCTCCTATACCTCCCTGTCTACAACCCTACAACTTACCCTCCTATACCTCCCTGTCTACAACCCTACAACTTACAGAACCTGACACCCCCTCAAATCCCTCCTATATCTCCCTGTCTACAACCCTACAACTTACAGAACCTGACACCCCCTCAAATCCCTCCTATACCTCCCTGTCTACAACCCAAAAACTTCAAGAAAATGATGTCCCTTCAAACTCTTCCTCTATCTCCCTAACTCCCCACAACTTACAGAGCCTGAGATTCCCTTAAACCTCTATTACAACCCTGTGTCCAAGCTCTTCAAGTCCCTTCATGATATCCTAAACCAATACTCTTCTATAGAAAACATTACTGTCAAATAACCCACACACTTTCTCTACAAGCATACAGATCAGTATTGGCTTGTCTGTGATTAGAGCACTGTCTCAACTCTATTTATACCATATTCATATCACTGATGTTGGAAAGGGAAGTGGACATTATGTATGCATAACAAATCTGATGCAGATTGCTTATTTGAAAACTAATTACAACTACTAATTAACATAGAGGGTTACCATAACAACAGCCAATCATTTAAATATGTGTAACTAGATAAACTTTCCATACACCAGTAAGTGTCAAATATTCTTGGAAAACTTACCAATTAATTTCATATTAGTGGAGAACTTACTAATAAGAGTTACATACCACTGAAGATCTCTGTCATATATGGAAATTTTAGCAGTAGATCCTACTGGAAAACTAACAACCTTCCAGGATATCCATGGAACATGAATCTCTGCACTAACAATTTGGATACACCAATAGAAAGTAAACCTGTGTAACAGGGAAACTACTGGGTTGAACTACAAACAAAAGGGTTATGTAAGTATTCATTCTTTTTAGTTTTACAATCTAATCATACTTCTGATTTGAAAATGCAGAAAATGAGAAAGCTAAATTTAATTGAAATGTAATTCACTATGCAATAATTAAGTTTTTAAAGGTTGACATACAAATATATTTTTTTCTTATCTCTTAAACATAATTTTACAGAGCAAACATGATTTTACTAAATGTATTGATGTGTTTATTAGTGGTATCATATCCTCCAGCAAATTAACATTTAGCCATGACATAAACTGTCTCCTGTAAACATTGTGTATGTTTAATATTATGAATAGGAGCTGTAACTGCTATTTGCTGGTGTTCCTGATGTTTAAATTCCGTACTGAAATCAAGACTTAAGGGTACCTCATGGCTTTTTACTGCATTCTGACATAAAAGCAAGAGGTCCAATGGACCTGTATTACTGATCTGTCCTGCTGCTTATAAGTATAAGACTTGGTAGAAAGAGTTTATCGGAGTATTTTCACGTTCATACCAGATGTAATATTCCCTTTCTCGAAATATGTTGCAGGTGAAACGACACAATCCTGTGACACTGTGTTTAGCCTGATAGCTCCTTGTCCCATCATGATAAGGGCCAAGTGTCATGACTTTGGACCTTGTTCAAGGTCTTGTTTGAAGGTTTATAGTACAATTCACCCAGATGAATTGAAAGCTGGTGAAAATAATTGGCATATTACTGGCCCAATATTATGACACTTGGCCCAATTAAACACATTGACTCATGTGAAATTAAATATCAGTCAAGGACAAACTTGATCGAGATTTTTGTCTAGTGTCCAGGATGAGATAGGCATTACTTCTCTGGTGGTGATGTCAAACTCCAAATTGTTTAATTAAACTACAAGTGATATCATCATCAAACTTACTTAACGATTGTATATAGGCAAAAGCATCTTGTACATGTTTTCAATGAAGATTTTAACACAATTAACTTTTAATTTTTCATAATTTATTGTGCCATGTTAAAGTTTTGCATTTAGTTCCACATTGAAATTAATTATTTCTCGAAGTATAAATCATCCTTTATGTACCCTATGCATTACACAATAGAATAACAGGCACCCTTGTGACAATACCTCGCTCACTGAGGTATTGAAACATTTTTGTCCCATCTCTCTTGCGCCCCTTGTTACCAACAGTACAATGTTTGTATAGGAAAGCCCCATCCATCTGGTGAGAGTGGTCAGTTTCCGGTGACCACCTAAGCCATGAAGGTTCTCCTGGATGTCTCTAGGTAACTGCTGAGAACCCATCCCTTTATTTACAGGTACCAGATTACGTGCTAGATGCAAAGGAGAAAATCAATAGGTTTTTAACTGTACTTTCAATTTGTGTTTGGTTTCAGATCAAATGAGTGGTTCCTGTTGGTGTGTCCCCACAATCCCCGCATCAACCAAGAGTTTGTGACGATGGACCTGCAAACAATACTGCTTTTATATAGCCATTAGTGCTTTGTTACAATGACAATCGTGTGCAATTGATTTCAAAAGCAAACATTCTTTCAGATACAGGAATGGATTCCAGAGTTCAAATTTACACTGACACTTGGATAATGGAATAGTATAGCTATGTTTCTATTAAAATGAGGATTTATGAAATTTCAACCGATATCATTTTTCATCAACTTTGTAGACATTTAAACCGTGAAAACCACAAACTGGAAAAGAACGTGTACTCTTGGTGACAAATCTTCTAGAAAACATTTATCAAAAAAAAACAAAAAAACATCAAGACTGAGCAGAAATGGAAGGGAATGGAAGTAACATGTCGGTCGTGCTCAGATTCGGGCGTGTGGAGGACACCGTGGGTTACATCCTGGCTATGCAGCTCATCACCTGGGGTTTCCCAGTCATCATCTGTGTTGGTACTATTGGCAATGTGCTCAGTTTCATCATCATGATGCGTCGGGAGATGCGACAGACCCCAACGTTTTTTTATTTGGCTGCCCTTGCTGTGGCTGACACTGTAGTGTTGTACCTAAGTGCCCTGAAGACCTGGATTAGAATCATCACAGGGTTTGAATTGCTCCACATAAGCAATGCCGCATGTAAGACATTCATATTCACAATCCAATTTTCTTTGCATTTTTCAGCATGGCTCATTGTGGCCGTGACTATTGAAAGGTTTCTTGCAGTCTGGTTTCCACTACGGGCCAATAGAATGTGCAGCCTCTCACGTGCTAAGTTTGTCACATTTATGATAGCTCTGGCATTCGTACTGGTGAATGTCTATCTGTTTTGGACCGCAGAACTTCTACTTGATCCATCACGACCACAAGGATCTCAAGCTATATGTGCTGCCTATGCCTATGAGAACTTTGTGTGTAATGTGTTTCCTTGGGTCAATCTTCTCCTCTATTCATTCCTACCGTTTGGGATCTTACTAGTGTTCAACTCACTCATTGTCGTGTCACTGGTGCGTAATAAAGGCATCTTCAGCAACATGACCAAAGAGGACCGTATCACTCGCTATCGGCATCGCCGTTTAGCCATTACTTTACTGGCAATATCCTTTGTGTGGATAGTCACCACTCTTCCGCGCTCTATGTATGGACTCTTCAAGGGCAAAGCAGGGAACATGGATGAGGTAGGAAACCAAGTTCTCGGCAAAGTGATCTGCTTCATCTTCATGTACATAAATCATTCTATTAATTTCTTTTTGTACTGTCTGACTGGCCAACGGTTCCGCATGGAATTTGTCAAGTTTATGTGTCGTTGGAAACAGGGCAAGAGCCCTCCAAAGGCAAGGCTGACCTTCAAGTCGAGTGTGAGTGTAGGGTCAGGTCAGGAAACAACAAGTTCCTTGCCCCTCATGATCACACCCTCTCGTGAAACTGGACCCTTTGATTGAAATTTAATTTTTCTTTCTTTTTTTTTTGGTATGTGAATAAATTTGCAATTCATTATCAGTGTACTTTCATTTGTGTCCTTAAAGCATCACTTTAAATATGCAACACACTAGCCCTAAGAGGACACCAGTAAAATTTGATAAACCTTAGCAGCAACCTCTGGTGATGCATGGTAACTCAACACAATATGTGCAAGATTGTTCCATTCTGCACACAGAAATGCAACTTTGAATGCTGAATTTTCTACCTCAAGAATAGATAGGGTTTTGTTCAACAAAATGGTTATCAACCTATTAACATTCAATATTCAACAAAACTATTCCAAAATTAATAAGGATTTTAAAAGTATGCCTTGAAAGACATGAATATCTTACATATGTGTTTGTTTTTATCCTAGTTCATAATAATACAATCAAAACTTGCAGTTGCATTTTGTAAAATGTGTCTCACTGTATTTAGGACCTGTGCTTGTAAAAATTTATTCATGTGCAATCAGAATGTTGCTATCTATTTACTTTAGTAAAATTAGCTGATCAATCAGGAGATGGGGCTGGGAAGTGAAAATCGTGAAACTCCTGATTGAATTGGGAAATCGGGAAAGTTGGAAGGTATGATGTAATGTTCTTGTAATCCCATCATTTTTTCCTATTCATACCTATACATTTAAGTTTACTCATTTTTCAAAAAGATACTCCAGAAAATTTTTATAAAGAAATAACAGTCTTCATCTCCATGTTTTATGACATATTACTTCATTCTATAAAAATAAAACTGATAAAGAATATCTTGTTGAAAATCATTCAGCTTATCTCATGATACATCTGGGTGCTTGTCCATTAGGTTTGTTTTATAGATTGCAGCTGACCACTTGAGAATATCAGCCCATCCTCAGTAGATCAGTAACAGTCATTGATAATTATAGCACAATTACCATACAGGAGATTATATGGCTCATGAAGGGTACAATAGCAGCAATATCACGCTCATCACTCAAACTTGTTGATAAAGATTTGTGTAGTGACAATTAAACTAACACAAAGGCAGAAAATGATGAAGGTAAACAATGGGATAGAAATGTGGTGTAATTGACAAATAACGCCTACGATATTCACTATACCTAATCAATATTACAAACCTACATCAAACCTCTCTATTCTGACCCTTGTGTAAACAGACACTGTCACAATAGTCTGTATACCTAATACATCAAACCTCTCTATTCTGACCCTTGTGTGAACAGACACTGTCACAATAGTCTGTATACCTAATCAATGTCACAAACCTACATCAAACCTCTCTATTCTGACCCTTGTGTAAACAGATTCTGATACAATAGTTTGTATACCTAATCAATGTCACAAACTTGTATCAAACCTCTCTATTCTGACCCTTGTGTAAACAGATTCTGATACAATAGTCTGTATACCTAATACATCAAACCTCTCTATTCTGACCCTTGTGTAAACAGACACTGTCACAATAGTCTGTATACCTAATACATCAAACCTCTCTATTCTGACCCTTGTGTAAACAGACACTGTCACAATAGTTTGTATACCTAATACATTAAACCTCTCTATTCTGACCCTGGTGTAAACAGATTCTGATACAATAGTTTGTATACCTAATACATCAAACCTCTCTATTCTGACCCTTGTGTAAAAAGACACTGACACAATAGTTTGTATACCTAGTCAATATTATAAACCTACATCAAACCTCTCTATTCTGACCCTTGTGTAAACAGACACTGACACAATAGTCTGTATACCTAATACATCAAACCTTTCTATTCTGACCCTTGTGTAAACAGACACTGACACAACAGTTTGTATACCTAGTCAATATTACAAACCTACACCAAACCTCTCTATTCTGACCCTTGTGTAAACAGACACTGACACAATAGTCTGTATACCTAATACATCAAACCTCTCTATTCTGACCCTTGTGTAAACAGACACTGACACAACAGTTTGTATACCTAGTCAATATTACAAACCTACACCAAACTTCTCTATTCTGACCCTTGTGTAAACAGACATTGATACAACAGTCTGTATACCTAATACATCAAACCTCTCTATTCTGACCCTTGTGTAAACAGACACTGTCACAATAGTCTGTATACCTAATCAATGTCACAAACCTACATCAAACCTCTCTATTCTGACCCTTGTGTAAACAGATTCTGATACAATAGTTTGTATACCTAATCAATGTCACAAACTTGTATCAAACCTCTCTATTCTGACCCTTGTGTAAACAGATTCTGATACAATAGTCTGTATACCTAATACATCAAACCTCTCTATTCTGACCCTTGTGTAAACAGATTCTGATACAATAGTCTGTATACCTAATACATCAAACCTCTCTATTCTGACCCTTGTGTAAACAGACATTGATACAATAGTTTGTATACCTAATACATCAAACCTCTCTATTCTGACCCTTGTGTAAACAGACATTAATACAATAGTCTGTATACCTAATACATCAAACCTCTCTATTCTGACCCTTGTGTAAACAGACATTAATACAAAAGTCTGTATACCTAATACATCAAACCTCTCTATTCTGACCCTTGTGTAAACAGACATTGATACAATAGTTTGTATACCTAATACATCAAACCTCTCTATTCTGACCCTTGTGTAAACAGATTCTGATACAATAGTTTGTATACCTAATCAATATTACAAACCAACATCAAACCTCTCTATTCTGACCCTTGTGTAAACAGACATTAATACAATAGTCTGTATACCTAATACATCAAACCTCTCTATTCTGACCCTTGTGTAAACAGACACTGTCACAATAGTTTGTATACCTAATACATCAAACCTCTCTTTTCTGACCCTTGTGTAAACAGATTCTGATACAATAGTCTGTATACCTAATACATCAAACCTCTCTATTCTGACCCTTGTGTAAACAAACATTAATACAATAGTTTGTATACCTAATTAATGTCACAAACTTGTATCAAACCTCTCTATTCTGACCCTTGTGTAAACAGATTCTGATACAATAGTCTGTATACCTAATACATCAAACTTCTCTATTCTGACCCTTGTGTAAACAGACACTGTCACAATAGTCTGTATACCTAATCATTGTCACAAACTAGTATCAAACCTCTCTATTCTGACCCTTGTGTAAACAGACAGTCACAACAGTCTGTATACCTAATACATCAAACCTCTCTATTCTGACCCTTCTGTAAACAGACATTAATACAATAGTTTGTATACCTAATCAATGACACAATCTTGTATCAAACCTCTCTATTCTGACCCTTCTGTAAACAGACACTGACACTTTAGTCAGTATAGACATAGATCAGACAATGGCAGCACTATAAGCAACAGGCCCACTGAGTCTTCACACTCACTTTGGTGACCATGACATGCATGTGGTACTAAAAGTGTCCGTTAAGGACATCAAAGAAACTTTGACCAAAAACTTTACAAACAAAATCTCTGCATTATTTCTCATCACTTTCAAAATGCATAGATTATTTAAAAAGTTGATGGTTTATTAATGAACAGAAACTTTCTTGCTATAGTATTATTTTGGCCTCACCCAATAATAGCTCCAACCCTTTTTCAGTAAATATGTCTTACAGTAGAGAAGGAGACTTAATAACCTTTTCTTTCACTAATCTACCCTTCCTCGCGGGCCTCAGATGAGTAGAAACCACAAATTTGACAAATATTATGTTAGGTACTGATACTGATACTTGTAACCATATTTGGGCTGAATTGGCTCAGCTGTGTAAAGGTAACAGAAGATACACAACTGACAATATCAAATAAAAGGTAATATGTCAGCCAGAAAGTTCAGCTCAGGTGACTTAGAAATAAAACAATAGGAAATCATTAAGATTGTTTTTCTTTCAAAATTAGAGAGATAACATTACAATTGTAGTCGTTAGGCAAAAATGACAACCACATCTCTATATACATATACCCAGAATCTGCACTCTATACAATAAAACATTAAGACATTTTTAATTGTTTGTCGGCACAATTCAAACAACATCACATAAAGTATCAGGGAAAGGAAACACAATGCTTTTGCTTATGAAAGGGGTATGACTATATATCAATATAACATAATACATTATATCAACATGAGATTGAAATGATAAAATTTCAAACCATTAACAGATAAACAATTACATTTACATGGTAAAGTAGCACGTCCTGTGTGAGGAGTGAGTGTTAGGGATGAACACAACAATGATACTGGTATAACATGGCCTTAACTAACACACATGTATTGTACTAAAACTTTTATAAAGGTTTATGTACACATTGATTTTTGGTGTCAATAACATAATGCAAATGCATAGCTGTTATGATAAGAACCCTGCTTCAGGTAGATGCCATTCCTTTATAAACAAAATCTAGTGAGTTATTTGATTTCCTCTGCAGCCAGAGGCCTGTCCTGAAAGTAGAACACAGAATTGCACCTAATTACCCTTATGATTGATTGCAGGAGAAAACTAAATTAGGGTTTGAAGCATCAATATAATAATTATCACTTCTCAGCATGATGAGAATGGGTGTGGTGTCATCCTTAACCAAGCTCAGATTTTGATATTTCAGCATGATGACACTATAAAAATAACAATAACATTGGCCAATCCCATCTTTCTCCAAAAATCGCTTAACATATCACCTTTGCAATTTGTTAAGATTTAACCCCAACCCAATCTCCACAAACAAAGATACATATACCTTACCAGTCTGATTTTCCTTACTGTGTGATAGAGGAACCCTTACCTGTCTGATTTTCTCTACTGTCTTAGACCTGTATCCTTACCTGTCTGATTTTCTCTATGGCCAGTGTAAACATATATGACATGACGAGATATTCCTGCCACCGGGGATATGGCGAAGTCTTCACTAGCACAACATATGTATAACATATAAGGAATCCAAGATAAGCCATCTGTAAATATATATATAGCAAGTCAACACAGGCTATTTGCAGACATATAAATTATAGTAGCCAACTTCAAATAAATGAATCTACTATGCCAACATGTACAGAGGTACGCCAAGGACATAACTTGAATGAGGAGTAATCCTAGATTTTTTCATTACCATATAATGTGTCATATACAAACTGACCACTGAACTTAAAATGCTGTGGAAGGCATGTAATACTTACAGTATAAAACCAGAATTTGGTAATGGGCGTAATACTTACAGTATAAAACCAGAATTTGGTAATGGGCGTAATACTTACAGTATAAAACCAGAATTTGGTAATGGGCGTAATACTTACAGTATAAAACCAGAATTTGGTAATGGGCGTCATACTTACAGTATAAAACCAGAATTTGGTAATGGGCGTAATACTTACAGTATAAAACCAGAATTTGGTAATGGGCGTCATACTTACAGTATAAAACCAGAATTTGGTAATGGGCGTCATACTTACAGTATAAAACCAGAATTTGGTAATGGGCGTAATACTTACAGTATAAAACCAGAATTTGGTAATGGCAGTAATACTTACAGTATAAAACCAGAATTTGGTAATGGTTGTAACACAGTATAAAACCAGAATTTGGTAATGGGTGTAATACTTACAGTATAAAACCAGAATTTGGTAATGGGTGTAATACTTACAGTATAAAACCAGAATTTGGTAATGGGTGTAATACTTACAGTATAAAACCAGAATTTGGTAATGGGTGCATTGTAAAACTCATATATCCTCTTGCCGAGTCGTAATGGGCTTTTCTTCTTTTTTATTGTGAATTGAGAGTATTCTTGGTTACTTTCGTTGTGGAGGGATCCATTCTCACGAGGGAAGCCCTGGCTGGATGAATGGAAGCTGGTTTCTATATTTACATCATCTATGTACAAATTCTGAAAATAAACCAATTATATATCATAAAAGTATTTTCATCTACATTCAACATTTACCATCGACTTATCCTCTACTATTATCATTTTTCTTCAATTCTTACAAGGGGCATGGTCCTTGTTGTTCTTCTTAATGAAGGACAGGTCAAACCTAGGCTTACCTCATTGACATGGTCCTCGTTGATGTCCTCACTGAAGGAGAGTTCTCCCTCCTCCTCACTGGCCTGGTTCTCAAGTTCGTCCAAATGCTCCTCCATTGTCTGGGGCATCAACTGTAGCTCCTCCTTACTCTTGAATTCCAGGGCCAGGATGTAAGGGGGGATCAGTATACCTAGTATCACCTGTAATATTACAATTATATTAACATTACTATCAAATCTCAAACAAGCTGTACAAAGGGCCATAGAAAAGAGTTATTTCCCTTGAGCAATGCAAACAATTTTAAACATCTTCACCCAGTGTTGGGTTTTATAAAGACCTCATTTAACTTAGTTAAAACACAGCTCTACATTATGTTGATTCAAACCCTTCAGAAGAAATGAAGGGTTTTCTCCTACATGTATATTTCTTCTGACATGTTGGATTCACTTCATCTTTACATCAAGACCAGGCCTTTACATCATTTGCTGGCTATAAATGTCTATTATTTTCTGACCTTTTTAAAGATAAAAAATCATAATTTATAGTAGAAAAACACTGTAAAATTGGAAGCAGTAAAATTTTGCCTAGCCATTTCTGCAGTTTTGATGAGTGATGTAACTATGATGATGAAGTGATCAGAGAAACCTGTTCCACATAAGAATATATGCAAACATACAGGTGTGTTGGGTAAGATAAAGATGTTTATTACAATTCTGATCTGGAGGACAAGGACTGACCTTGAGGCTGCTGTTCTTCCTCATCTGTAGTCCACCCATCCACATATCATTGAGCAGAATCTGACAACAAGTGTGAGCTACAAACTCGCGATGGTTAGCTGCGACTGCTAGGCTCAGACATGTCTGGTCACTAAAGTTCTTCAGTTCGTAGGTTAGCAGCTGCTGTGTGTAATCGTCGTCGATCTTGTAACAGTGTTCCAGCAGCTCCAGTGCAAGCACTTGGAATTCCCTAAAAGGGGTCAAAATAATTTGAAAGACTGATAATACTAATACTTATAATAGGAAAAAATTTCAAGCAGGTTTACACTATAGTTGGTTGTAAATACTGTACATTTTAATATGTCTTGACCATATGGAAGATGAGCTCTATGCTCAATATGTAATCAAGAATAAATAAAGACGATTATTATTATCATTATTGTCACTTTTCTTAGCACCATTACAGATAACTAGTTAGTTTCCTTCCTAGATGTACCCAGAAACCTTTCCTGCAGGCTGATAAAAACTCCATATACCACATAACATAACATGTTTGTTGTATGTAAACTTTTGCTATTATTGTGGCTACAAACAAAGCTCGGAACTTAAAGGGAACAAGTAAGACTTCATATAAAATAATTATGGGTTGAGTTCTGTGGTATCCACAGAAATGCAAACCAGCTGGGTTGAAATGAAACAATATATTGTAGCTTCTTACTTTGCATAAGACCTGAGTTCGTCGGAAATGTCCACCTCGAGATCATCAGAGTCAGCCTCATGTGACATGGCTTTATATAGTTTACAGGCCATCAGAGCCTAAACGAAACAACATGATGTCAAAAGAGGGCACCTGTGATCGTTGAGTATAAATCAAATTCCATAAGTAAACCAATTATTTTCTTTTTCTGTCAACGGCTATTTATATATACATATACACTTAAACTGATTAACTGTGAACTCAAACTTAAAGAACGTACTATATTGGATAACTCCATAAAAAATGTTAAAAGAGATCTAACTTTAATGACTTGCCATTATTTTATTCTCAAGTACGTAATGCAGTTTTTGTGTTCATATTATATGGGTTTAATAGTTGAATTATCTAATCTTTTCTTTTACTAATATTATGAAATTTGTATCAGACATGTCAAGGCAAGGTGGATAAAATGTCTCAGTAATTCACTACATAAAACAAAATATTGATGAAAAAAGGAAATCCTAAGAAGAAATCTGCAACACCTAGAAATTGTTATATAACTACAAATATCTTGTACCTAAAACCTTAATTTGGCAGTATGACACAGTAATCTCCCTTGTGTTATGCAATATCAGTCTCAAAACCTTTGTCAGTGAAACACAGTTATCTCCCTTGTGTTGTGTAATTCTGCCTTAAGCCTTAACTGGTATGACAGTAATTTCCCTTGCACTGTGTTAGTAAACTACCTTGGCCATGGCCTCTTCACCATGCTGCCACATGAACAGTGCCATCTTCTGTCGCTTCATTAGGACAGCCCAGATCATGAGGTCATGGAAGGGGTAAGGAAAGAGCTCCTGAGCCTCCTTAGTATCCAGGAACATAGGCAGCGTGGTCACCAGATTACCCATGTTACCAGCTACACCCTGCAATACAAAGCAACAATTATACCATACATACAGGCAAAACTGACAGCCCTCCCTTAGGAGGTAGACTGAGTGTCAGTCTTGCATCCTAATGTTTGGCCTCAATTTTCCACACAAGGTAAATGTCCACCAGAAATAGCAACAAAAGACGTCTTGCTATTAGTTTGTATAAAGAAGGTCTATACTGAAACTTGAAATTGTGAGTGACAGCAATCTTTCGTGAAGACATTCCAGGAAAATGACAATGTCACCGAAGTATCAGCTGTGCCCTCATCAAAATCCCCGATCAATTTACGAGTGATTTACCACAATAATTTAATACATTCCTTGTAAAGTGGATTATATGTTATAGTAATTCACAATCATTGGTAATTTTCTACAGTTACTTGATTAGAATTGTATCCATACCAGTGTATTTCATTTTTATGACAATATGTAACAGTACCCAGGAGAATTTCAAATTCCACTATTTGATAATGACACTGAATCTGCAACAGTATAAAATTTGATATAGCACAATAATTCTATATATAGTCTTTATGACCCAAGCTCAGACATTTCTGAGAGTTATAACAGTTGATTAGACTCGGAGAGAACTAGGTTCTACTATAAGGTATATTGTAGGATGGACTTATTGGTCAAATATTTTGAAATAAATAAGTGATAATAACAGAAATTTACTCCACAGTTGAAATCTTAAATATGATTTTTACCTAAAAGAGTCAAGTTATTGGCTACAAAGATACCAGTAGCATTCATTATGAACTATTATAGAAACCTTTATTCTCTTATACTGGATAAATCTTTGTATAAAAGACAAGCAGGGAAGTGTAACCATCAAATTAACAAACTCTATTCTAAGAAAACCTATGTGAAGTCTTCAAAATACTAAGTGAGTTACATCTGTCTATCAGTCTTACAACGTTATTTTTCTTTAATGTTAACCACTGTAAACATCCTATTAGGAGCCTTTCATTATGACATGAGAAAGTCTAAATTGAAGATATTTATGTAAATAAAGAAAAAAGATCCCTTGGGTTCCAAATCGTTTCATTCTTAATGGGAGCTATAACACACATTCCACTCCCCAAACCATTTCCTTTAAATTCATTACATAAAGCTTTTGTAAATTTTTAAGCCCTAGAAATTATATCAGGATTTTTTTCAGTTCCAAAATCCACAGAATATTCAAAAATAAATTAATTTAAGAAATGAAGTATTCTGAAATGTATGAAGTACAGATCTTAACAATTACATTAAAAGTATCAATGAAGTGGATTTGTGTGAAGAGATGTTTACATTATTTTTCATCCTATCTAGTCTTCCAAATACTTTTCCAAGACTACCAGAATTCAATGTCTTTCATATCAGAATAAATGTTATGATTAAGTTTTGATGTTACATAACTTCATTCAGCTTTTATTTGATCTAAGCATGAAAAATCTCAAATCTAAAAAAGCAGTAGATGGATTCATTCCAGCATATAGTTTTACAGCACTCTACTCAATTGTCTCATATTTTTTACTTCCTATGATCATGATATACTCAGAATTTCTGAATACAGATTCTTTTTTCAAACATTTGCATGCAGAGATATAGCAGAGATTTATCACTACAGCAATGGCTAGGCATCTCCCTGTTAAAATAGTCTTTTAATCGTTTTTCAAAGTGCAAGTGAAGAAAAAGCATTTTTAAAAGAGATATCTGTTTAAGAAACAAAAAACTTCATAAAATATCAAAATGGCATTATTAATAAAAACATCAGCCATGAGCCTCGTCGGTTAATGACCAGCAATTTTTGCTAGCCTGGATATAGAACAATTTTAGCAAGCCTTGGGGCTATCAGGCATGGAATATTTCTTTCAGAGCTCTTAGTGAGAGATTCAGAAACTTGAAGCTATTTCCAGCTCCAGCTAATTTCCACATGCACACTGTACACACACTAATGCTGGCTAATGACAGATGTATGACTGTGAATTATTACACATCCTGTGGTATATGAGACAGGAGAAAATGCTCTAGTCAAAGGATTAGACCAGTGTAGACACAGAGTTAAGTGCAGTTGACCGCCTCTGTCCAGGCATCATCTTTCAAAGTTGATGGCAGATGTAACAGCGTAAGAGTTTAATTTAATGCAATGTTATGACAAGTCAATGTCAAACAGAGAGTGAACGTCTCTATACTTATAAGTCTACATGTGTGGCTTGTTATTTGAAGGCATTCTGAAATTAAGGAAAGGACGATGAAAAAGTTGTTTAAGTTAATTTCTTTAATCTGATTTAAAACATTTGGGGAATTAAAGAAACAGAAAAAGTCAAATAGGCCATAACAGTCACTTCAGGAACGACAGCCACACAAGTGACATGTAATAGAAACTTCTCAGGCAAGTCACGTTCTGTAGTTTTAAGTGTCTAAGACACAACATATTGATGTCCTCAGGTTTGGAAGAAATGGGATGCTACAAAAGAAGCAGCATTATTACTGAGGGGAAAGCTTCAAAGATTTATCTACTTATTACTACTGTTTTAAAAGTCTAAAATGTATGTTGAAATCAGTAAAAACATACGGGCACGCCCTTCAACTTTCTTAGGAGTGAGGAGCTTATTCTTAGAAGAGATAACTAGCAACAAGCTATTATCACCATCTTGTTGATTCATACCATTTGTGAAAATCTTTCATGAGAAGTTGGTTATTGTAACTCCACATGTCATGACCGTTAGCCCCTTTTGGAGAGTTAGCCCCTTTCTAAGCATACCCACCCAGTTAATATTTGCTATATATTTTAGAAGAATATACAGTCATTTGTATTAGCTTTGACAGTGTTAGAAATGATGACGATAAGTAATTATGTTAGATATGATGATGACAAGTGATTACACTGATCTCTTTTGACATACATTACGCTTGATGGCATTGTATTTCTGCCGGAACCGCTTTCGACAGTAAGATGCACGAAAGGCCCCATCCATCAAATGTTCAATGACGGCACCAATGTCAATAAGATTGTACCGGTAGTTGGAGGGCACATGCTGCAATGTAAACCAGTCCTTATGTCAAATTGTGTAAACTTTTATATAAACTTAACATTAATTGCAGATTTGTTCATTTGGTCTTCAAAAGTTAGAATCAAGTCAAATATATCAAATGAAGAGTAAATTTTTGTTAGCAATGAATTACTCTGAACCAAGAAAGAAAATAACTTGTAATCAAAGATTGAAATTTAGATAACTTAATAATCCATGTATTTACAGGAACAGACATTTTAATATTTAAAGGAAAACAATAAGAAAATTAAAAAAATTAATTAAAGAAATTAAAAACCAATGATATTTACCTTTTTGATGTCTCTCACCAGGTACCTAAGGGTGTTACTTGGACCATGTCTCTGAAATCACAGGAAAAGACTTGGAACAAAGCTCAGTTTAACAGATAATTCCACTTTCACTTTAGCACCGGTTACCTCTGTAACATCCCTACTCACAACAGACAAGATCATGTCAAGGTTATTATAAAACCAAATTTGCATTTTACTTAATGAATTTAACATTCAGTTCTTGAATGTAAAACTATTACCAAAATCTTATATAAGAATTTGGTTGAACTGTTTGTACTTGTGACAATTTTTTTTAAATATTATGTCAGGTTTAAATGGACCAGAATGAAGCATCCATACTTTTGTATCCTACTAAAACTGCAGTAAAAGTATTGTAGCCATGTCTAGACATGAAATTCTGATCAGAACACAAAAAGAAATATCAGCTGATAGCATCTGAGGTCAAAAGTCAAATGAGGTCAAAATAACCAATGGAACATAAATTTTGGTCAATGAATGAATTCTATGACAAAAGTTGATGTTCATACATAAAACAATGGCTTAAATATCTATAAACTGGAAACCTTACACTAATTAGCAAAGGTCAAAAGTTCACATGAGGTGATTATGACCTCAAAGTGTCTCAAAGCTTATCTAAATTAAACTCCCGCTTGTGAAAGTACAGGCATCTTGACTTGGTAAATAGTTATATTATTTTCCCTTTACTAGGCTCATATGTATATATATATATATATCGCTTTTTTACAACCTGACTCTGTTAATGGTGCAATAAGTGTGTAAAACTTCCAAATAATAACATCATTGTTGAATTAATTAATAACAAATTTGAAACATGAAACAAGTTTAAAATGAAGAGCAAATTATACTGCTGTTAAACTAAGGCTCATATGAAAATAATATTGTACAGTCTTGAGTCTAGCTGCAAATGAGATTCACAACAAATATCACAGAACAGCATGTTTATGTATAAATGCATAATATGAAAATAGAAGAGAGTGTAACAAATATCACAATGCAATATACTTGATTGTATAAAAAATTGTAAATAATATTTTCAGCTTGAACATTAGCTAAATTGAGCATTATGAAACCTTTAATTGGCATGAGATTGGACTGATGGTCATAGAGGACGAGGGAGGGGCTATGCATCCAGGGGCTTATCCACAAAGTGTTTTTTTTTATCACAGATTCAAAGTGGCCATCAGAAGCCCAGCATCAACATTCAATCTCAGACAAGCCAGGGCCAGAAAAAAGAACAGAATCCTATACAGTAAGTTTTCTGTCTCACAGATTGAAAAATCATGTAGAATTTTTTAGAACGTTAATGATGTATGGCTATTGGAAACCATGTAGAGTCTTAGGTTGGAGTTTTCATGCTTCCCTGTTCAGTGGAAACTTCCTGGTGCTAGTTCATTATGTCAGGCAGAGGTGGAAGGGATAGATGTGGAGGTGAAGGAAACCCTGACAAAAACGGCAATAGTTCAGACACTTGATTAGAATGGAGAATTTATTTCAAACTTATTCCTTGTGTGAAAGAAGAATTAGAAATTTAAGCCCGTCATCAATTTAAAGAAGCCCAATGAGTTTTGAATGAAGAGGATTTCTTTACGAATTTCAAGCCATGTCTCTTGGATTTACTAGTGTGCCTACAGTGTTCACTAAGGTTCCGAAACCATTTTCAGCCAAAGTTAGAAGTCTTGGTATTCACAACTTCTACTATATATTAATGGTTCTTAAGTAAAGGATACTAAGCAGGAGGCATGTAAACATAATTATGTAGGGTTTTAGCAAAGAATTTTAAGTCTCTCGGTTTCAAAACTAATATTGATAAATCATATTTTGAGGCAAGTCATATAATCATTCACCTCGGATACAAATTTAATATCAACTCTTTTACGGTTTTACTTGCTGATGAAAAGTTTTCGAGGTTGCTATATGCATGTAAGGCAAGGAATTCTAAGGCAGACTTCCGTTTCTATCAGAGATTTGGCAAGTCTCATCAGTTTGTTTACTTCATCCCTTTACAGCAGTGAGGTTATAATGTTTAACGGACAATCAGACAACTCTTGGTCTTAAGAATGGCCTAGGACGGCAATATTTTCAGTCTGAAAAAGCTACTGTCGAAATTTAATGGTGGATTGATAATGATGAGATCATGAATGGTCAACCTATCAGACATGAGGAGACCACATTTTCATCGAGACAGATACTTCTAGATGGGGTGCCAAATGTAGATCTTCAATCATTAAAGCTCTCTGGTCAGAGTCAGAAAGGCCACACCAAATAAACATTTAAGAGTTAAAGGATGTTTGGTTGGCAATGAGATTTTTTTTGTGAACAGCAAGATTACCAGGGGGAAGTAACAAGGAGTTGAATAAGCTCAGGATCTTTGGCTTAAATGCTCTGTGAGAAATATTTACATTTCAGTTTCTTACATTCCTAGAGTCTCCAATGCAGATGCTGATTACTTATCATGATCATCAATCTTCAGGAGAGTGGTCGTTAAACTACAAGATTTTTTAACCGGTTTGTCATCATTTCTTTCGACCAAATGTTCATCTTTTTGTGCAGGATCAAATTTAAGATCCCCGAATATGTATCTTAGTACCAGATGCTGTTTTTGGCCGTTGCTATGTTATCGACTGAATACTTGCCTTGGTATATATATCCTCCATTCAGTCTGATTGCCACAGTACTAAAGAAGGGAGGACATGGTAAGCATGGATATAGCGGTAGTGCCCTTGTGGAGAAATCCAGCATGGCTACCTACTTTGCTAGATATTGGTGTGGGTGTACCTGTTTGTCTACCGAGGTAACGTGATCTGCTCCTGCCAGATTAAGGAGATTTTCACCTTCTCAAGAACAGCCCGAGAATCATTGCATGTTGCACATCATGAGATCCTTGCAGAAGCAGGGCTTATCGTGACAGTCTGCCATGCTTGCTTTCTCGTCATTGAAACAGTCATCTGCCAAACAGTATGATTTGGCATAGAACAGCTAGATTATTTGGTATAGTGAAAGGAAAATTTCTTCCAATTGTCCCTTTATCCAGAATGTAACTTACTGTCTCACCATCACTTCAATACTGGGAAGTTATATAGTGTCATTAATACTTATAAATGCATGTTGACCCCTTTGTTAGACTGCAAAATTGAAACAGACAGTGTGGCGTTGTCTTGATTTATAGAGAGTGTATTTAATGCAATTTTATCCTAGTCTCGTTACAAAATCAACTTGGGATGTTTCAAGCATCTTCAATCATATTGGATAGATGTTTTCTTTAGAGAGATAGGATCTCTCTAATTAACAAGGAAGTTGGGCTGGCTTTAACTACGATCCAGAGAGCTCAGACATAAGCGAGTCTAGAAATTTCTAGTATGTAGAATTTTGGAATTCATAGTTTTATTGTTCCAGAGTTGATGAAAACAGCTAAGCCGTAAAGGCCTTTTTCACAATGTAAAATTATGTAAATATGCACACGAATTGTTAATAAGTAGCTTGAACTTTTTGAAAATGAAAACTTTTAGTCTCTTTCAGACAGGGATTCCCAGTTTCTATATTTATGTTAGCAAGGTGGATTAAGAATGTGATGAAGGATGCAGGTATTGATCCTGTGTTCAAAGCACATCCAGTTTGTGGTGCAGCTATGTCTGCAGCTTTCAGGGCTAGGACATGAAAAATTCTAGAAAAAAGTAATTGGGCGTCTGTGGAGACTTTCCTTATATTTTTTCTTAAGGATATAAAGGAAAGATTACTGTTTCAGGAAACTGTGCTGGACTGTGTCAATGGATTGAAATATTATTAGATAAACAGATTCTGTGTTGCTGAATGGATATAATGATTTGTTTTGGTGATTTAACGGACAGTGTTTATGCAGCAATATATTTGTATCAATTCATCAGTGATAAATGAAATATGATATCACCTTTTATGTTTTTGTTACGTCTATTGTGATGAGGACAAGAAAGTGTGTTGACGAATTCTTTGAGGGGTTTATGGGCTTAATTGTTTTTCCCCCATGATTGTATATAGATTAATGTACATCTACAATGTGGAGATGGCGGAATCGTGAAATCCACACAGAAATTCTGAGCTTATTGTGTCTATTTTTGATATATTTGTTGTTTTTTTCCCCATTAAACTCCGCATATGCATCATGAAAACTTTTTTCAGCAGACAAAGGAGCAGCTTATCAATCCTTTCACGGAGTGACTTCCTTAGATCTCTCCTTTCTTTGAAGTTTAGGTCTATGATTTATCACACTCTCACCATTCTGTCTAAAGTGCTAAATGCTTATCTACAGAATGTAAAAATCAATTGTAGAAAAATTTACATCCATCTTAATCAAAACAGGCATGAACTTTTCAGCCCTGTTATTGATTCTTTTAATTTCGCTTCAAGATTTTTTTTAGTGATTTAATCAAATTGTTGTCTTCTATTACATCTGAAAAAATTCTGTTCAGAAATAATTGCAAGACACCTACCTGGTATTCTTTGTGTACTTTCTTCTGACAAGTACAAGAAAACATGACTTGATGAATGAGACTTAGTAATCTCAATACAACAGTTCAAACCAATTTTTTAGTTAATTTCATGACATTCAATTTCTCCTGAAGTTCTAAATGTTGCAATCATTGCATTAAAATCTTTAGACGCCTTACCATGAAATTTTTCAATATTAAGGTTTAGCGTATGTATGCAAAGCTCTTGTAAATAGACAGTTGTGAATCTCCTCAGAACAGTCTAATCCTTAGCAAAGCCTCCAAACACAGTCTAACCCTCGACAAAGCCTTCCAATAATCTAACCCTTGGCAAAGCCTTCCAACAGTCTAAGCCTCAGCAAAGACCCTCAGCAGTGTTATCCTCAGCAGAGCACCTCCCAATAGTCTAACCCTCAGCAAAGCCTCCACTTAGACAGTCATGAATCTCCTCCCAACAGTCTAACCTTCAACAAAACCTACAGTTAGACAGTTGTGAATCTCGTCCTAATGTAGAGATTTCTCCAGCCTACCTTCATATTAGAGAAAAATCCTATTAATCAATAACAAGGAAAATTGTGTGTATGTTTTAGACACCTAACTTTTTCCACCAAACTTTCAAAGTTAAAATACAAGATGGCCACCTTTCCGCCATTTTGTTTTTTCTGATCAGATCCAAAATCAAATACACTAAGAAAGATCCATCCAGTACTTCCAAAGAAATAGCCCTTACAAACTTCCTGATCACTGAGAAAGAACAATGCTGTAGTTTTCAAGAATAGTGATAACAAACTTTCAAAGTCAAAATCAAAGATGGCCACTTGTCATCCATCTTGTTTTTCTGATCAGTCCCAAAAAAGCATGGCCATGACTAGAGACCAAGGGGAAATTCAAGTGAGATCCATCTCATGCTTTTCAAGAAAAAGTGATAACAAACTTCATTGAAAAATTCAAAGATAGCTGCCTGTAGGCCATTTTGGTTTTTTTTTTATCAGTTCCAAAATCAAATGCGCAGGGTTTTATTGTATGATGCGGCACTGCCTAATCAGCATCATTTATATCAGAATGTTCTGGGCTATACAGGATGATGCCACACACAGTCTAATCATCATCATGTATATCAGAATGTGAAGGGCTATACAGGATGATGCCACACACAGTCTAATCATCATCATGTATATCAGAATGTGAAGGGCTATACAGGATGATGCCACACACAGCCTAATCATCATCATGTATATCAGAATGTGCAGGGCTATACAGGATGATGCCACACACAGCCTAATCATCATCATGTAAATCAGAATGTGCAGGGCTATACAGGATGATGCCACACACAGCCTAATCATCATCATGTATATCAGAATGTGTAGGGCTATACAGGATGATGCCACACACAGTCTAATCATCATCATGTATATCAGAATAAGAAGGGCTATACAGGACACACACACAGCCTAATCATCATTATGTAAATCAGAATGTGCAGGGCTATACAGGATAATGCCACACACAGCCAAACCATCATCATGTATATCAGAATGTGCAGGGCTATACAGGATGATGCCACACACAGCCTAATAATCATCATGTATATCAGAATGTGAAGGGTTATACAGGATGATGCCACACACAGTCTAATCATCATCATGTATATCAGAATGTGCAGGGCTATACAGGATGATGCCACACACAGCCTAATCATCATCATGTAAATCAGAATGTGCAGGGCTATACAGGATGATGCCACACACAGCCTAATCATCATCATGTATATCAGAATGTGTAGGGCTATACAGGATGATGCCACACACAGCCTAATCATCATTATGTAAATCAGAATGTGCAGGGCTATACAGGATAATGCCACACACAGCCAAACCATCATCATGTATATCAGAATGTGAAAGGCTATACAGGATGATGCCTCACACAGCCTAATCATCATCATGTATATCAGAATGTGCAGGGCTATACAGGATGATGCCACACACAGCCTAATCATCATCATCATGTATATCAGAATGTGCATGTACATGTATATCAGAATAAGAAGGGCTATACAGGATGATGCCACACACAGCCTAATCATCATGATGTATATCAGAATGTGAAGGGCTATACAGGATGATGCCATACACAGCCTAATCATCATCATGTATATCAGAATGTGCAGGGCTATAGAGGATGATGCCACACACAGTCTAATCATCATCATGTATATCAGAATGTGCAGGGCTATACAGGATAATGCCACACACAGCCTAATCATCATCATGTATATCAGAATGTGCAGGGCTATACAGGATAATGCCACACACAGCCTAATCATCATCATGTATATCAGAATGTGCAGGGCTATACAGGATGATGCCACACACAGCCTAATCATCATTATGTAAATCAGAATGATCAGGGCTATACAGGATGATGCCTCACACAGCCTAACCATCATCATGTATATCAGAATGTGCAGGGCTATACAGGATGATGCCTCACACAGCCTAATCATCATCATGTATATCAGAATGTGCAGGGCTATACAGGATGATGCCACACACAGCCTAATCATCATTATGTAAATCAGAATGATCAGGGCTATACAGGATGATGCCACACACAGCCTAATCATCATCATGTATATCAGAATGTGCAGGGCTATACAGGATGATGCCACACACAGCCAAACCATCATCATGTATATCAGAATGTGCAGGGCTATACAGGATGATGCCACACACAGCCTAATCATCATCATGTATATCAGAATGTGCAGGGCTATACAGGATGATGCCTCACACAGCCTAACCATCATCATGTATATCAGAATGTGCAGGGCTATACAGGATGATGCCACACACAGCCTAATCATCATCACGTATATGAGAATGTTCAGGGCTATACAGGATGATGCCTCACACAGCCTAACCATCATCATGTATATCAGAATGTTCAGGGCTATACAGGATGATGCCACACACAGCCTTATAATCATTATGGTTATCAGAATGTGAAGGGTTATACAGGGTGATGCCACACACAGCCTAACCATCATCATGTATATCAGAATGTAAAGGGCTATACAGGGTGATGCCACACACAGCCTAACCATCATCATGTAGAAATAACTAGCCATGAATCTCAATCAATGCAAATGCATGTGTAACTTCAATAAATATCCCAATAATTCAAGTCTTCTTCCTGTTCAGCCAAAACAACAGTTTGCTGTAGTTGAATTTAAGGTTTAATTTTGCACCTGACAAACCAAGCTTATTCAGCTAGTAATGCTAAATGTAGTGCGGGTGAGAGAGAATAGAACTATGCACTTTAGTTAACAGGATGAGGGGTTTAGATCTATGTATTCAAATGATTAGACTATATTGATATACAAGATCTGATTTCATGTCTGAAGAACTTGGCAGCTTTCAGGTAGGAACATAAACATTGGAATCAAATTACCATTACAAATGCAATATTTCATTCTCAACACTTTTATGTGATTGTTCCACAGGAGCAGTGTCTGAGACTGGTATGAGGACCAAATTCAAAGTTATTGGTCACACAAAGACAAGATAAATCAACTTACATACACAGTTCTGTCTTATAAATGTACAAGTGCATTCCCTTGGTCTTTTAACAGTGATGCATGATGGCATGACAAACTTACCATGCTATAAACCAGTCACTGAAATACACCTCTAAAACATAAGGGTTCTGCTAATTCCCTGATTTTGTAAATATTCTGAGAAGATATCAAGATGATACTATAGTCCCTGCCAATGCCACATTGTTGATGACACTCATGGACTTGTCTAGATATCAATAGAGAAAATCTGTGCGAGTTACTGTGGACTTTCCCCAGTCTCTGTAAAGTGGGTAACATCTGTGTGACAAACAGCAGTTCCACCTGAGTCTCTGTAAGGTGGGTAACATCTGTGTGACTTACAGCAGAGTTCCTCCTGAGTCTCTGTAAGGTGGGTAACATGTGTGACAAACAGCAGTTCCACCTGAGTCTCTGTAAGGTGGGTAACATCTGTGTGACTTACAGCAGAGTTCCTCCTGAGTCTCTGTAAGGTGGGTAACATCTGTGTGACAAACAGCAGAGTTCCTCCTGAGTCTCCGAAGGTAGGGAACATCTGTGTAACATACAATAGAGTTCCTCCTGAATCTCTGTAAGGTGGGTAACATCTGTGTGACGTACAGCAGAGTTCCTCTTTCCTCTGCAGGGTTGGTAACATCTGTGTGACTTACAGTTGAGTTCCTTCAGCCTCTGTAAGGTGAGGAACATTTGTGTGACTTACAGTAGAGTTCCTCTGGCCTCTGTAGTGTGAGGAACATTTGTGTGACATACAGTAGAGTTCCTCTGGTCTCTGTAAGGTGAGGAACATTTGTGTGACGTACAGCAGAGTTCCTCTGGCCTCTGTAGTGTGAGGAACATCTGTGTGACTTACAGTTGAGTTCCTTCAGCCTCTGTAAGGTGAGGAACAATTGTGTGACGTACAGTAGAGTTCCTCTGGTCTCTGTAAAGCGGGGAACATTTGTGTGACATACAATTGGGTTCCTCTGGCCTCTGTAAAGCGGGGAACATTTGTGTGACTTATCGTATTGTAGAGCTACTCTGGCCTCTGTAAAGTGGGGAACATTTGTGTGACTTACCGTATTGTAGAGTTCCTCTAGCCTCTGTATGGTGAGGAAAGTCTGCATGCTTACACCATTCTCCAATAGCAACTTTACAAAGTCTACACGATCGTTGATGAGGGCGTCCATCATGGCTTGCTCTAGTGATCCCTCCTACAAACATAAACACAGCATCTTAGATGTGACTTTAACAAGCTATCAATTACAATTCTAATCTTCTTGAAATGAAATTAGTAATTAGCTTAATTTTTTCTCCCAAATTACTGATCCCTTCTGGGGTATTTCTGTGATATTACAAACATGGGAGATCTGTGCTAGTAAGGTTTCAGTCCATCCTGTCCAATAACCTTAAATATTAGATTCAAAGCATAAAAAAGTTCTTATTTTCGTAATTCTTCAATATCTTAACAAACCAGAGAATTGAAGCTTTGAAGAAGTTGTTGGCAAATTACAATCATGATATTTATCATTTTGATTGCTAGATTTTAGCTTTTACTTCGTTGACAGATTGACAAGACAAATGAAATAAAATGTTAACCATGCTGAAATAAACATCACCACTTTCCTTTTGTACACCTCATGAGTATGACAGCTTGTCTGCACCAATTTTTTGAACAGGAAATAAGTGACGTCCCAATATGCAAGTTACATGAAGGAAAAACATCCATATTTCCTGTCAGTTAGACATTAAAGAATCTCAGTTTAAGGGGTTTTTTGTCACACACTAAACATAACAAAAGAGATTCAATATAAATAAGCACAGATTCTAAAATCATCCTCTAGATAACCTCTCATATATCTATTTCAGAAGTGGTCAGTGTGGCCTTCCATCCAATGACCTTGACTGATAACCAACAAGCTTTAATCATGTGTGTACACAATATGAAAACATGATATGAATATTGAGGAAATGTGTCTTAAGTACATAAGACATCATGTTAACAACTTTTTTTATTTCAAAACTTGTCTAGTGTTATCTTTGACCCTTTAGACTTGACCAATAGCCACCAGAAATCATAATGTATAAACTGCATCACAAAGCACAGGACTGTCGATGATCTCATTGCCTGAGAATCACACACCAATCAGGCAGGTATCAAACCATACATCTTGGATCTTAAACTGAGGTTGGTAAGTCTAATGCTCTACTGACTGCACTATCACCACCCACAGAATATAAGAGTACATTAAATGAATTAAAACACAGAAATGTAATAGTAATTATCAAAACAAAATGCCACTTAATGAAGTAATACTTTGCATGGGTTTTATTTTTCTCATTAATACGATGGAAGAGTCAATTATGAATTCTTATCTCTCATGATTGTTTGTATGAAAATAACTCTGGTTTGCATTCATGTTGATTTGGTTACCAATATGGGAGTCTTGTAGAGTTCAGGTCTCAGCTTATCAGTCACAAATCAATTAATTCTAGATCTGAGTTAATTTAACCATGTATTCACAAATATGTCTTAAGAGGTAGGTTCATGAAATAAAGTATTTGTGAAGCCTAAGTGATTTATAGTAGTTTCAAATCTTAATAAAACTTGTAAAGTCTACCTTAACACATCCTGTCAAGTTGTTTGAAAATGTTTAAATAGTAAAAGGAAAAATGGCTTTAAGCAGACAAAATTGAGTAAATTTGATAACGATAGCAAGGGGAGAAGGCAAATTTGGCCACAAAATTTAACCACAAATTTTTTCAAAAACTGTTTTGCTAGAAACAATAAGATCCTAGGATCTTGGTGCCTATATCTAGCATCATATGATCTTTATTAGTTCTTTATAAGTTGGATCTTTCTACTAGGAATCGAGGGAAACCTACATATGCAATTTAAAAATAACTCATCCAGTATATCTAGGACCCAGCAATAACAGCCTTTTATCATCAAAATCTATGATGGTTACTGGTTGGCCATTTTGTTTTTCCAATCAGCCTCAAAATGGATATTCCATAAGTAGCAATTAAGGTAAACAGAAGGAATCAAAGAAAGAGCAATCAAGTTCTTTTCAAGAAAAAGTGATGTCAAAATTCAATGGATCAATGGTCATTCTGTTTCTCTGATCACGCCTATAATAAACAATACACAGCTAAGAACCAAGGGGAAGTAATGTAATAGCTTTGTGAATGATCAATCTGGCACTTTTCAAGAAATAGAAATAAGAAAAGCTTAAGAATGGTTGGACAACAAACCGATGGGTATTTAAAGAGAAGACGGTGAGCTAAAAAATGTACTATCTCTATACCGAAGATGATAATTTTCTAATCATAGTAAGTCACCTTGACCTTTGGCTCATTTATAGCTGAGTATCAGATGTGAAAAGCAAATTATAAGACAAAGAAATACTGTCTGAAAATACTGAATGAATTTCAGTTCTATGGGCAAAAAAAACCCCAAAAAACCCCACACAAGTCATTATATAAAACAATTCATTTACAGTAACAGTGACTTTGACCGAGAGACAACCCTAAACAAGCATGGTTTGGTAACTGAGTGTTGATAAGATGTACATTTGCACCATGGGCATTGACATCAATGATCACAATATGTCACTTTTATCATACAACTTTTCGAGATCAAAATGAATCGGTTTGATATACAGAAAGACAATTATAGTTAATGACAATAATGTAAGTGTCAAGGTACGGCTGCCATTTTGTCTAATGTTGTCTCTCTTGTTTACATTGAGTGTTGAATTGAAATTAATTTCATGTGTCCATTGTACAAATGTTCACTTTAAAGAAATTTAAAAAATATCTGTTTTGAATTTCAATTTAATCCTACTTGTCATCATATACAGCTATAATATGATTTCAACTAAACATTCTGATGATAAGGAGGCAGCATTAATTTTTTAGAACTATGGGTTTTCTGTACCTGTCAATAATCATGATGCATCTAATTTCCAAAACCTAAATAGCAACAAGAAATTGTTGACATTTTTTAATTTCATCAAAAATATGCAGGAACAGTTTTCCAAACATGATCGACACATTAATATGATGTAACATTGTCAGTCAACTTTTACTAATATTCTCATCCTTATGAATATAATTTGCATGCATGGACGTAAGTTAACAAATATTTCTGAACTTGCAACTTTACTGATGTGTTAATTTCCGAAATGATAAGCTGATATCCGAAGAATTAAAGCAGAATCAATGAATTTTCAGAGAAATTCATTAAATTCTTTTTCTTCTTAGTACAACGCAAGAATACTTTTCTAACAATTGAAAAAAGAGATACATGACATGATAAACAATGAGTTTTGATAATCATGAGAAAGCACTGTATTGAGCTTTATTTGAACTGGCTTAAGTGAACTCAAATTGGAAAATAATTAAACAAGTCTTTTATCCTTAGAAACATTGGCCTTAAACTTTGACCTTCTTACCTAAATAACTCCAATTCTAAAATAGCACAAAGATGGGATCAATACTCAAAAAGATATCTTTATATGACCTATTTTCAGACAAAACAAAAATGGTCGTCAAAAACTCTCTGGTTATATAGCCTCATGTTATGATATGCATGACTGAGACAAAGATTAAGTTGGAGTGACCTGATGTCACAATTAACATGTGAAAGACATAAAGTGTTATTTTACAGTAGGAAGGACTAATTAAAAAGCTACAGTAATATTAGAGTAAACACCTGACAGAGTCACTCAGACCAACCTTTTGATACAGTAAACATTCCTCAACATAATGACTCTGTATGATGTATTTACCTTAAACAAGATAAATATATAACAGTTATTGCAAATTACCATGCCTACCTTAACTACCATCAGTGTCATATTTGTGAGATACTGCCAACTATAATTATATTCATATTACATAAAACTACACTAGGTGTAATGTTAAGTAGAAAATGAATATTCTAGAAAAATTAAACACTGCAGACCTAAGCTAATCATCCTACAGGTTGTCACTGTGTCTCCACGTGCACTTCACATGTCCCACTGTATAGCATTATATTAAGTTGCATGAAAGAAAAATTAGTTAATGATGAGAAATAAAAACAGAGAACTCGTCAGTTGTGATAAATGTTCACTTCTTTGATAGGGAAAACCTAGCAGATTAACAATCCTATGCTGGCAATAAGTCTTATACATCTATTCTGAAGGACAAAAATAAATGACAAATAAATATCCCAGTAGGAAACATTTTCATAGCTAAGTGTTCAATAAAATATCTCCTGTAGAGTTTCATGTATTTAACTTCAATGAACTGTAAAAGTTGAAAATACTTTTTTTTGTTTTTGTTCTTTCATTTCCATATTAAAACTTGTCATCAAATATAATTTATGAACTAATTGCTTAGAAATAATGTATTTTGCATATTCATACAAACATGAGATAAGTACAATAGAAATAACCACTCCTATGAATTAGTATACTTATCAACACTGATTCTTCTAGTTTCAAAGATATGTAGAGATATTCTAATTAATGCTGACTAAAATCAGTACCCCACGCAACAGCAGTCGGTCAAGAAAAGGCTCTTCCAAGGTAAACGTATAACACTCACAGGAACTTTCCCCAAACATGTAATCAGTCTTGGAAATCACATCCATCACCTCATGTAGATGCAAAATATTAATCACACTAACAGCACTGAAACAACCATGTCCCCAAAACACAACTCCATGACAGCTCCAGCGAGAATCATGCAGACATACTAGTTCTTTATGCTTTCATCAAACTGTAAAATTCTAAATATACACATCCTTGGAGATGACAACAAGTCAGCTTAGCAATGAATACCATTGTGTCACTAGTAATGACAACAGCACTAGGAGACACTCCTTCTAATTACTTCCTAGGCCTTATATCGCTCACATGATCAGGTAGGTAGCATCCTTAAGAAATTGAAATGCTATCAAGTTGCATCAGTTACAAGTACATTACTTGAACCTTAGCATTTAATTCAAATCTAAAACTAGATTTTATGGTTAAGATAAGAAGGAAGCATTTGAGAGTAGTTTCCACACCTTTAATGTTGTTTACTTGAGCTATCTTAGGTATCCTTATTCTTAATGTTTTTACACATTTCAATATCTGTTATGCTTATTACTAACTTTACATAACTAGACATCTCTCTCCCACGCATATTATTAGATTACAATATTCTATAACTCATGATACTA